TTATTTAGCATTTTTGAAAAAGCTGAGTCCTTTTACCAGTATATTCGAATTGTTAAATCAAATTTTGTGTAATCCTAGCTATGTATACCTAAGCGATCACAAGACCTAAGACATTGGGCTTAGATTTCACTCTAGGGTGGGTATTTTAAGGTAAGGATCCAGTGAAGCCCAGTTGGTCAAAAAATGCAGGCAGTTTAGGAGAAGCTGGCCCACTACTTCTTTCTTCTTATAGTCCAGGAAAAATACGACAAATTACCCTTAAACCTGGGCAAAATTGCTTTACAAGTGATTGAAGTGGTATTCAACACAGAAAATAATGCTTTATAACATATCCAAAATCCGACAAAATCCGACCATGGGAAATTACTAAAAAATCAAATTCAAAATGGCGGCAAAATTTCATATTTTTGTGATATTTGTTTTAGGACTTTTGGCGGTATGGGATGACGGAAAGCACATATACATAAATGAAATATCAGATTGGATGTTGAAATATCAAATATTTACAAGAATAGACTTTATTAAAATGACAAGGGCATATTTGTATGTACATTTTAGTTTCCATAGTTACTTAAAAAGAACTAAATTTAATAGGTTTTCTTGGAAAAACTATTCATTTAAATAACTGTTATCATTTCGTTTCAATGTTCTTACATTCATTGATCTGGTACTCCCCTCATAAAGCAGAACAAAACAGGCCATTATGTTTACATCCACAGTTGCGCAATGGGTTATAAAAGAAGAATGGACCAGTTTCAATAATCACTCTAGGGTTGGCGGTATTTCAGATACTGTACAGCAGTACGAGTTTTTGCACCAAGAAGGACATTATTCGCAGACGTTTGAACAAATATGTGAAAAATAACTATTATATGAAACAGTAAACATGAATACTATAGTATGAAACATCAAACATATCAAAATAGGCAATGCAAAAAGACTACAAAACAAAAAGTCGTACCCCCATACATTTCTTATGGACGTTTCGTAATTTGAACATTTTTTTAGATAATTTTTCTTATATCTCCAGATTTTACTAACGCTTGCAGTTTGTTCTAGCCTTAAAATATTCTATGATGAAAGGGTTTACATTTGAGCTATTGATCATTAAAATCGGATGATTCAGAAACGAGCTACGAACCCTATAAAAAAATATTAAATTTAACTTTTTAGATATACATTTTTATTTAAAGTTGTATATCTCGGGTTGTTAATATGTCACCAAGTTCATTCTGGTCTCAAATTACTCAGTGAATCTTTGGCTTTAATTTTATTAAAATTTTATTAAAATCTGATGAATTTTAATTGAGTCACGAATCTTTATTTAACAGTAGATTATTTGTTTTTCAAAATTTGTCTTTAGTTTCAGACATATATCCCCAATTCTAAATAACTTCCAAAAATCTTTACGGTCTTAAATACATAGTAACATTATTGACTTTTGTTTTAGCTATGGATTACTTATTGGGAGTTATTAGAATTGGGGATGAATGCCATAAACTAAAGACAATTTTCTTAAAATAAATAATTTACTGTTAAATAAAGATTCATGACTCATTTTAAATTTGTCGGATTTTATTAAGTGATACATAAAATTAAGGCTAAACATCCACTGAGTAATTTGAGACAAGAAAGAACTTGGTGACATATTAGCAACCCAAGATATACATCTTTTAATAAAAAATATTTTTTTAAAAGTTAAATTTAATATTGTATTAGGGTTTGTAGCTCGTCTATAACACGTCCGATTTTAATGATCAATAGATCAAATGAAAACACTATTACCACCGAATATTTTAAGGCTAGAACAAACTGCAAGCGTTAGTAAAAACGTGAGATATAAGAAAAATTATCTTAAAAAATGTTCAAACTACGTAACGTCCATAAGAAATGGATAAGGGAGAATTTTCGTTTGAATATATCTTCAAAACGAAAAAATATATTTTAAAACTGATTTTAGCATTGAAATCAGCGTGAAAATCTAATTTATAATGATGTGTCACAACACTATCATTACGTTTAAAAATATATATTTATATCCAATATGGCGGAACCAATATGGCAGATCCAAGATGGCGGCCAAAATGTGTTCCCTATCATATTAAAGGACTAGCCACACAATAAATATCGGTGGTAATCTCAAATAATAAATAACAAAATAACAAATGAGTGAATATCTAAAAAATATGCATGAAAATGCATGTGATATATTTTTTAATGTGTCCAATGTTGGGGATAACTGCCATTTTTAATCGTCATTAGAGGGGGTTTCCTGTAGACCGATTTTTGGCAACTTTTAGTACGTCACTCTGCGCACCTAACACTATACCAAATAAAACCGTACAATATTTTCTTGCATTGTTTTAAGGCCATATCCCATATTTATCTGACTATTGTTGTTTTAAAATAAATGGCTCTTAAGAAAAATAGCCGCCATTTTAAAGTTTACTTTTAGACACTTTCCCATGGTCGGATTTTGTCGGATTTTGGATATGTTGTAAAGTAACATTTGTTGAGTCGAATACCACTTCAATGGCTTATAAAGCAATTTTGCCCAGGTCAAATCATAATTTTACTAGACTATTAATGTTGCATCTGATTGACATTTTGGCTAACCTCAGCTGTTGTACTATTGTTTTAAAGGTAGGATCTAGAGGAGGGGATAGATTTCTTCCTCTAAAACCGCCTAAATTTTGTGAAAAGAGTATGAGTAGATGAATTAGGTGACAAGCCTTTGTTCTGACTATGATCAGCTGGTTCTTTTAGCCATGGCCGTTAAATGAGAACAGCTGGGACTGGGCAGGGCAGCTTTAATAAATGGGCGGTGGAGGGGCGCAAGGAGAGTTTTAGGTTTGTTGGGGAAGCGAGGAAGAGAAAAAATTCCTCCAAGAGGTAGGTGGAGAGGCGCAATCATATCTCGGGCCCATAGCGCATCACATGCAAGAGGGCCTGGGGCTGGGTCCACCCAGTTTCTAAATGTTAAAAAGCTCCTTCAACAAATCCTTCAAAATCTTTCAAACTGACTAAGAAAAAATTTTCCTTTAAAGTTACCTTTGCCGTGACTCTAATAAAGGAAGGATTGCCATATTGGATTGCCGTTTTTTGTGACTATGTCAAGGGTGCCGATTTTTCCGTGAAAACTATGTCTGTGTAGAAACCAAAACAGCCACCAACACAAAAATCGTATATGGCCATACTCAAACATATAAGTGTTCAAAGTGTAAGCATGCAAAAACGTAAACAACTTAAAATTATATTTTAAAAGTATCTAACATGTAAACATACATCTACTCCTGAACTAAGGACTCATATATACTTAGAACAACGATGCACTTACCCAGTGTTAACTGAATGTTGTGTACTTCAATAAGTGAGATTTGAGAATGGTGTGAATGCTTCGCTCAGGTCGGCTAGTATTATTTAACTGTCAAACTGTTTTCTGGACCCACATTTTTCCTGTGGGTTATTCCAGATCCCCAGCCCTGGCCCTATGGAAAAGTTAGGTGGACCCGATACTATTTTCTATTAAATGTACTCTTTAAGAATGGTTGTGTTGATACTTGGGCAGTTTATGTGCTATGAAGTTTTGATCAAAATAGTTCTACCACTATGAGCATAGTTGTCTAGCTAGGCGGTCTGAGTGGTACAGCTGGTAAAGTGAGAAATTTTGAGTTTTAAAATAGTTATAGCTAAGATTAGTAGTTATGGGTTCCCGAATAACTATGATGTTTTGTTTTTGTATGATAGAAACTTGTACCACAGTCTATAGAATAGTCTGTGCTTGTAGGTACTGAAAGAAGTATTTGTTATGGCTGACACATTTTTTGGTACTTTAGAGAACAAAAATCGTATAAACTTATTATTTTAACGTAGATACAAAAGTGGTCAATAATTGTAATAGCAAAACCTATTTGTTGGGTTGTTGAAAGACACATTTTTCAAAGATGATTATTTTCGTACCATGGGAGATTTTCAAGATTTTAACGTTATCGTGGAAGCCGATGATAAGCTACCACAGGAGACAAATGATTGTTTTCGCAACTGTGGAATAATTTTGCCTCAATCGTAGAAGAGGATGACTATATTTCCGATACTCATTGATATAATATTTGGCCACGATCACGGGAGACGTTGATGACTTTATGAGCGAAGGAGGTAATCTTGATTTTGCCGAATCGTGGAGGACAATGACAATATTTCCGTTACCAATATTCAGGATTTTGCCACGATCACGGTTACGGAAGAGGATGACGATCTTTTTGTGACAGCGGGAGATATTCGGGATTTTGCCGCGATCGTAGAGGACGAATGATGGCGTATCCTCTACAGTACAGACGATGGCTCAGTTGAGGTACGAGGTACAGGTACCCCGGCACGAGCATCGCTTATTGTGCGTTGGGTGGGCTCCTTAAAAACGCCTCGCCCCGGGCGCAATAAACCACGCAACGGTCGGTCCGAATTCAAATTTCGAATATAGTATATGATTTTAAATACAATAAAACTATGTTTTTTTTTTTATTCAATCCCAAGTTTATGTGTTATTAATCAATGTTTTGACGATTGTTTCGATCAATGTTTCACCTTTAAAAAGGTGGCCGTGGTTGATGCGCATTTCAGAGTTTTTATGCAACTGGGTTTGAAGTCTTCTTGCAATGTCCAATGTCCAAAGTCGATGAGACGACCTTAAACATAAACTATTTATCTCTTATCTCTGAAATTTGAATAGGAAAATATATAAAATCGTAGATAAAACTAAAGTTTTGTTAAATATTCAGATATATTTTTGTAACTATTGCAGTTTATTATGATAAATCTGCCATTTACGTTTTTATGTAGTTTTACATTTTATATTTATTGCAGCTTTTATAATGCTCTACTGTTGAACAGTTGGTACTAGGTAGTTGTTTGTCAAGATGACAAGAACGGTGGAATGTAAATGTTTAGTGTAGCAGAGCAGAAGGAATCATATGTTTATTCGTCAAGATAAGTCTGTGTTAATGTAACTCCCACTAAATTATTAAAGTTTTGGTTTAAATTATACATCAAAATTTGCTTGCATATTCAATTTATTGAATACTAATAGAGTTTATTAGTATTTACCCTCTCGAATACTTGTCCACGTTGACCTAGCCTAACTACTGGTGAGTCACCATCATAAGTGTCACAATTTTATAAACAACTTGGACCTAAATACAATAATACGCCTTAAATACTTTAGGAAGCTCTGTATTATCGCACATAGGCTGTTAGTTATAGTAATGATCAAATCATAGCAGTATTAACTTAGGCCTGCAAAATTTAGCTCTTAGCTTAGGAGCCTATTCCTAAGGAAACAGCTTTCTGTTAAACTCAACAATGTGCCAAGTAGCCTAACTTAGACTGGAGTTAATACTTATGAATTAAACATAACTAAAATATCTAACTCAAGTATGAAAAGGAACTAGTTGAACCCTTTTTGATGATGCACTCGTATAGGTACCGGTATTTCGAGTTGGTTTTTGGGACAATTAGCAGTATGTCTATGGCAGTAGTTCCAACATACCATGCTAGGCAACCTTTACTAAGTTCTGTTTGTTTAATAACTTAATAAGTAAGTAGGTATGTTTTAATAACTTTGGGCACATTTTGGGAACATTTATTGGTGCACCGGTGCAGATGACCCAGTGATTTAACTTACTTACCGGTACCAGACCAGGTCAACTGGGAGGGTCTTGGGATCCCAGAACGGTTTACAGTGCATATAAAATTGTAATTTACACATAAACCTAACTTAAGTTACCTACTATTTACTTTTTACTTTATAATATTAAAATTGAACAAACTTGCGCTCACAGAATAACATAAATTATTTACTTAGGTAGGCCCGATAGCGTAGTGTGAATAAAAACTACCTCTTTCTAACTAGCATATGCTAGGTCTAGTAAGTATTTGGCCAAATCATTGCGTATAAAGATTTGTAGAAAATACTAGGTCAAGTCTAATCGAATCCAGAAAAACCCAAGCACTTACTCACAGGGTAATTAGTACATGCTAGACCGAGTAAATGCTAGGTTTTAACGTGACATGACTAAGTTAGACTATTCCTCCACACTCTGCCGTGGTGAACACTGCCGGGCCACTCTGCACTAATACTTGTGCAGAGTGAAGAGTTGTAGAGTCCTATGGAGGAATAGGCCCCTGTTCCAATACGTTGCATGTTGCCTGGACATTAATACTACGATATCCTTTTCTAAAAATATACTCATCACCGTGCAGCCCAGGCTTTTTATCTAAATTTGAGTACAATCAAGGGCACCAATACAATACAGATGGCAAACGAAAATGTCTGCCACAAAACTTTAGCCTCGGTCATATCTTCATCACGTACCTTATAGTCTTGTTAGCCGTAGTACGATGTACCCACATCTTGAGCTACACCAAACTGAAAGCCAGGATCACCCACAAAACTCAGAAATATTTCCATTTTCTGTCTTCTGGAAATACCACCGCCACGAGTATCACTTTCTTCAAGAAACTGTGCCGCAAGGAAATCAACACTCTCACTGCTAAACCTTAACAGTTCTTTACAATTACGTTTGTTTATTCCAGAGCGAACAGAATAAATTTTCCGTTGACGAATAGGCATAAACTCAGCCATGACCAACAAACTGTGGACTGAGTAGTCAGGTAGGATAATTGCTAGGAAAAAGTCTGGCATGCCCCAGACCAGGCTTGAAAATATCGAAGCATATGATACAGAACAATCTAGCTTACTTCATAAGTTTTATTCACACCATATTTTAAGTAGGCCTAGGCCTATTTACTACTTGTCCGGGAAAACTGTAGTACTTACTAAGTTACCCCTAGCAAGTGCTAGAGTGTTTATTCACACAAAACGTAGCATTTACTTAAGAAATCCCTAGTATTTGCTTATACTAGTTTTTATTCACACCAATCATTACGTATGGTAGTTTAATAGGATATAAGTTAAGTTAAGCCATCATACTGATAAACAATTGAATAGCCTATAGCCTATTTATATTTGATATACCCGTCATCTTGCCGTAAGTTAGCTGCATAGGCCCTAGGTTACTGGTGTCCAAGAAACTTACCAATCAGAGGTCGCTGGTGTAGGCTACTGTATTACGTGACATATAATTTCTCTGGTGCATGAATCTTGCACCAAGTAAAGAAAAAAGAGGTCCAAATAGGCTAGCTGTAAAAACACTGTAGAAATGATTCTGTCCATAAGGTGCTCTTGTAATAACTATAAACACAGAGAAGTAAGGTAGGGTACAGAGAAAACCCTCATGGGACTCTTTCAGCTCTGGTATGTTATACCGGAAATATACTTGTGTCAAGCTAGGAAAACCCTGAACGGCGAGCGCTATGTTTTAGTTGTATGATTAAATAAATAACTTTCTGTTTTATTACGACCACTTACACTTCTGGATACAATCACAAACCTAAAATATAAGTTAGTGTCAAGTAGTTCGATGTAGCCAAGCAAACTTCCTTGCAAATTAGCGTCCAGCATCAATGCTACAAGATGAAATAGGACCTTCAGGAACTTCAATGTACGGTACTAAATAATATGGCAATGTTGGCAATTATTGGCCTAACTCCTTAATAATGACAAAAGGTGTAAAATTGGTAGCCTAAACATTAAGAAACGGAATGTTTTAATATAATTATAGGCCTAGGTAGGGTACTTTCCTGTTAAAGGGAACATTCATTATTATTGATGATTTTTTTCTCGATATATCGATATTAACAAATTGAAACATATCAGCTGACAACTACGAAAAATATTGTTCAGTATCAACAAACATTGATGAAATGAAACCTAACATATCTAACCAAACTGGCTGTAACATTTAAAAATTCCGTGTTTATAACTTGCCTTTTATATTCAAACCCAAACGGAATTTTTAAATGGTACATCAAGTTTGGTTGGTTATGTTAGGTTAGCTTAGAACAGTTTCATTTCTTAATCCATATAATAGACTATTTTAGCTTAAACAAGATCAGTTAGTTGTCAATTTGTAATGGATCGTAAAACAAAAACATCGATATACCGTATCGAGAAAAAAATCATCGATAATAATGAATGTTCCCTTTAACAGGAAAGTACCCTAGGTAGTATTGAATATTCAGGGTGTCCCTTAAGTAAACAGCCAAACTCCAGAAAATAATTCCATGGGTCAAAAGAGAAAAAATTAAGAATAACATTTGTTCCAAAATTGCATTTCTTTTTTGTTAACCAGATTTCTGCCATGTTTTTATTTTTTACATAAACATTTTTTTATTGTTTCAACCAATCTTTATTAAACTTAGTTACAGTACTTAAGTTGTGTTTAAATAAAAGTACATTTCATGATAGAAAAACAAACTAACTTGGTGCATTTGATATTTCAAAATGGCGGACATTTTAATTTTAATTAAGTGTATCCCTTCTAAATAATGGCTGATTTTATAAAAAAAATGTCGAGAACACTTTTTATTAGCATTTAAGATTTCCAATCGAACGCCACTAAGATATTAAATATACAAAATTTATGAAATATAATTATTTTTGCTATAAAATAAGGCAAAATTGCATGCAACCTGACTTGTTATCAATGGTTTGAGAATTCAAATTTGGTTCAATAAATTCCCACTTGTTTAAGTAGGCTACAGTAAATGATTGGATGGAATGATATTTCTTGGATTAAAATGTAAAAATGTACTTAGTCAACAGTTAAGGCTGTGTTAGTAAAAGTAGCCAAACATTTAAAATCTAGAAGTATTCATTAATTCCAAATTTTTGGCAATCTTCATGGGCTAATGAAATATTCCCGGAAAATATTCCCATTTTATAAGTTCCCTCCCATTGGGAATATTTCCGGCATACATCACTACATGTTCTTACTATCAAAGTTTACAACAGCTGACCTTTACTCCCTTGGGAGTAAAAAAGCTACTTTACACCCCCAAAGCACGCATGAAAAACGGCTGTTTTTTCCGCATCACCTATTTCATCACTAGGGCCTAAAATGACTCTTTTCGACCCGAGCTCAAGTTTTACGATCAAGGTGAAGTCGAGTTCGAATGAGCGAGGGTGAATTGCTCATGTAATGAACTATAGTTTTCATCATATTGCACCATTATTTTAATAAACTATGCTACAAAACTAAATTAGTTTTCATTCAAAGATAACCTCTCAAAAAACTTCTAACTTGTTTTCAATTTAATTTGCTAATGGAAACAAGCATCAGCTGTTTAGTAAGTGATATAATCGTTTTGGCTTACGATCGTATAAGTGTTCATTATACTAACGATATGTCTATTTACAATCTATTATGAAATATTTACAATGAGCAAAGATGTACAATTGATACAAGCAATTTTTTACAACTGAGGTGACAACAGCTGATTTTTACTTCCTAGGGGCTAAAAACGCTTGTTTCTCCCTAAAAAGTAAAAATGATACTTTAGACCTGCCACGCGCATGCATTAAAAATAGCTGTTTTTCTGCCAGTTTGACAAAGTTTTTTTTAACTTCACACATTTTTCAACAGGAAATTATTTTTTCAGGAGGCTGTAAGATACACACCCTTAAAAGTTTTGAATGAGTAGCTATGGTGTTGCATGATAACTGAAAACCATGGATTCTGAACCCGAAAGTCCAGAAAATGGTACATTGTCAGAAGAAATTGCCAATTTACCGCAATCACTGGCATTTACCGTCCATTTTGACAATGCCAAACCTGCTGGTGAAACAACGAATAAATTTGCTAGAAGACATATCAGAAATTTATCTCTGCCTATTTCAAAAGTTTATGAAAACAAGGTGAGTGATTTTTAGATCCATACAGTATTCTACTCTGATCGTGTTAGGTAAATGTGTTTTTTATGAACATAATTTTATAAGCTTTTCATCAGTAAAAAGCATTAAAAGAGGTGCAGTATAGAATTGTATCTTTATGATTTAAATGAAAATAGAGGATAATGTTTCTCACAATAATGGTCTATGCCACTAATTTTTATTAGTATTATTTATTATTTTGAACAATTTATAAGAGCTAGAAACATAATGCAGATTTTTAACAGTTAGAGCTAATATGGTTAATAAATTTTCAAAATTGAAACTAAAACACTAACATATTATTTTCTCTTACACTGCAAACAATTTATTTCAGTCAATTTAAAAATAGTTTTCAAAATTCTTGTTTGCAACTGAAATTCTAATATAAAAACATAAAAAGTTAGTATGTAACTTATCTATAAATATTTATTGTAAGATTAATTCACTGCAGCGTTAAATTTTGCTATAAAAAATAGTTATACAAATAAAATAGCCACACAATGTTTATTGAATAAATTTAATTACCTTACATTACTTGTACATATAATTGCAAGTTGATTAGCTCTACAGTTTAATCTAATTACAGAAATAATTTTCTAAAATAAAACCGTTTAACAACAAATTAATTTCAAAACCTCAAAAGGAAAACAAAACTTAAAAACTAACACAGTTCAATCTTGACACATAACACAGTTTCCAACCCCGAAATAGCTCCGTCGTTGACAAACAGTTGTGTATTGTGGAAGGAATCTCGTCAGATCTAGTGTGGCTATAAATAGATTTGGCAGCGCTATCACTCCCGCCAGGTGATAAGTGCTGATGTAGGCCAAGAGAGTGAAGTGACGAGTGGTAACGTTCGGGAAAGTGGGGGTCTTGTATAATGTGACGGTTACCGTACAACTAACACCGTAACTGCAGTGCCTACAGACCCATTAGGTTTTATAACGCGGTTACACCTCGTGAACTTGATTAATTATGAGAGATATCACCACGCCACTGACTAGACGGCCACCGATCGTACACCGGAACACGAGTTTTCGCAGTGTGAGTATTTGTAATTGGCTTGTAATGGTGGTTTTTGTATCTAGTTATTTACAGTTTTGAACATTACTTAATTTTTGCAATTTCTTAATCAATGTAGGTATATGTTAAAATTTTCAAAAGTTTTGCAAGAGAACTTGTGTAAGAAAAATAACAACATTTTTGGAGAATACACAATTTAAATCAAATCCTAAACTATTGGAGGTGTTAATTTGACTTGAATCATAGGAGAAACTTGTGTAATTTAATAAAACCCAAAAATATACTTACAGTTGATAGTTGTGTAGGCCTACAGTTTTAAAATACATTTATTGTGCAATTATATTTTATGCATTGCATTACCAAACCTTGTTTATTAGCTGGAATCATGTCCAGTTTTAGACACCAATGCTATCTTGATTTAATACCATTTGTGTTTTTTAACTCTTAAGTTTTTATCTTTCAAATGAGATTTTATTTTGGCATTAATTATTATAAAACCAGCACAATAGGCCTATTTAATGATTCAATATTTAAAATGTGTTTTCTGTATGTAAATAAAATCCCATTGTTATTCTTTAAACATTTTTGTAATTTACATGCTTCTGTAATTTCTTAAGGTATTTAAAATATTTAGTTAGGCTAGTTATGTTTTATTCATTTATTTTTTGTAAAAGTGGATCTAATATTACTGTAAAATGTAGCCTATCTCACTCTTTCTATACTCATCATTCACTCATATTTGATTTAAAATATGCACCCGGCTGATTCCCCGGCTCAATTTGTATTTATTTATTTATTATCATCACATTACATCAATGATTGACAGGTGATTTGTCATCAAACTAAAATCTATTGTAACAAAACAACAATCATAATATTAAAAATAATTATACATTTGTTAGGAAATCTTCCAGTGAAAAAAATGCCTTCTCCAGAAGCCATATCTTGAGTGTTTTTTTTTAAATTTCAATATGCAATCAATTTCTTTTATTGATGAAGGCAGCTTATTATAAATTTTGGGTCCCATATATTGTGGGGATAAATGAAATAATTTTAGTCTATGTTGCAATGGTTTTATTATTTTTTTTGTATCTTGTATGTATCTTGTTTGTGAGAGGGCTGACTCTCCATAAGTGTATCCAAGTTGCTCTTGACCATCATAGAAATATAATAAATATAAGAGCTGTATAAAGTGAGAATTTTGAATCGACTGAAATATTTGAATGAAATATATAGTTAGTAGTAATAACAATTATAATAATAGCAATAAGAATTACATGCTTAAAAGGAAATTATAATGGAATCATATTAAATTTGAAGTTTAACTCAAAGTAAATTTGATTGTTCAAAGTAAATTTGATCGTTCAAAGTAAATTTGATCGTTCAAAGTAAAATAAATGTGAAAAAATAAAAAAAACTTTGAAACCATAAATTTGGAGAACCGAGGTGAACAATATTTTGTATGTTCTGTATAGGTAAACAATGACAGTCCTGTGAATGGAAGAGCCACTCGTAAAGCTGGAAACCATTCAGAAGGATATTTCTCCAGTGATCCTGAAGATGATTCTAAACCAAAGCTGTTTGAGATGAAGTTGAAACACACTGATGGTAAAGGTAAGAAATCTTTGAGTTTATTTTTGTTCTTTTATTAAATTTAACTTTAAAGTATGTGAGTTTGGGGACACAAGTGTTGTATCAAGTATTAAAGCTAAATTTATTGTTTTAGTAGGCACAAAAGGATGTAAGAAACTCAAAATATTTATTTAACATTTTTAAAGGGTGTGTTAACCGTTTAGGTAGCCTACCGTACCATAAGATATAATGAAAAAACAGCTCTTACATAATTGTTGATGGTGGCACTATTTTACAAACAGTCTAACACATAACATTGTGTTACTTGTAACTCTATAGTGACTGTAGACTGTCGTGGTATAACGAACCTCAATACAACGAAATCCTTGATATAACAAATTTTTTTAAATCCCCTAGAACTCTCCATAAGACACAATGTATATTTTACCTCTACATAACGAACAAACCATAACAACGACCTTGATTTAACAAATTTTTCGTGATTTCGGCTAAAATAAGACACCTCAATATAGCAAATTTATCATTGTCAGAACCTCTACATTGCGAATTTAACCTCTGCATAACGAATTGTCTACGTCTTTCCCTCGATATAACAAATCCCCTACCCCATTATTGTTTTTGAAAATCTGTTTCTTTATCAAATGAAATGGAAAGGTGACGTAATTGCTTGCGCTAACATTCGTCTGCTCCGTTTTACACATCTCTGTCTGCTGTCGCTGCGCACGCTATGTTGCAACTGAGAGCTGATTTCATTCACTGAGGACTGATGACGACGTAATGTTTAGTAGGCTGTTATTGGGCGATAAGTAACTATGGTGAATTGTACAATTTTTGGATAAAGTGAAACCTAAGAAAGAATTTAAAAACAAAACCAAAGAGAAAGAATAGCAACATTGTTATTTTAACATTCCTTTTTCGAGTGTTTTTATTATCTTAAGTTGGCTATGATTATACACTTTTATAATGACTTATCTAATAATTTATTGTTTTCAATACGATTTGTTTCAACTAGCAACACCAATGCTATAGTTAATGATTATTATTGACATTCCTCTGTTGTGATAAATCAGTACTGTACTTTAAGTAGGTTAGAACAAGCTGTGATTTTAAACTTTTAAACAGTGTTTAACCTGTACCAAGGTCAATGCCATTTTCATGATTGCGCAATATTCAAGATCCCTCCCCTTTTTATGCCGGATAATTTAGGTTCTACTGTACAATTTAAACACTGTACTGTAAAGTATTGTAGCCTACACTACTTTAATTGTGTTTTAATGATGTCTAATCCCGACCTATATTGACCGACGCTGGTTCTGAACCTCGACTTAGCGAAATTCCTGCAAACATAACCTCTATATAACGAACCTCGTTTTAACGAAATCCTTGATATAACGAATATTCAGTTCGGTCCCTTCAGATTCGTTTTACTGAGGTTGGACTGTATTTTTTAAAAGCTGTTTTGAAATTTTTACTTATTTCAGAGTCCATCAATTTTTTGCACTGTTGTTAAAAAGTAGGATTAAAACTGAACTGAAATAAAATATTAACAATTCGGGCAATTTTATAAATGCATTCCAAGGTAGAGATAAATATTATAAACATGTAACCATTATGTTCTTTAAAAAATACATAACAATTTTAAATCCTGCTGCAATAAAAAAAAAATGTTTTGCCGCAGCCTTTTTCTAAAAATTCATAAAATATCTACATCAAAATAATATGCAGAAAAAAAAATAATAACCATATTTTAAAATTTTACAAACAAACATGGTTTATAATTTGCAAAGAAAAAATTATATAACTTGACAAGTTATAAATAGGAATTTTAGGACCACTAAAAATTACAAAATAGGAATTATAACTGTCTATTGGGGACTAAGATAAGCATTCCAACACACACAGTGTCCTATACGGAAGGTGGACACTGTTTGAACGTGTTTAGTAGTCCATGCTAGGCCCAAGGGGTCAAAGTCCTGGTTTCAAAGGCACATTGGCATCCTGGCTTTCTTGGCACCAACATGTCCAAGTTAAAACAGTTTTATTCTACTGTCAACGTCTTTAAATTCCGTAAGTCAAAGTAATTTACTTTTACTGTACATTTAATTGAAATTCAGAGTTGTCTTATTTTAATTATGTTTCAATTCTGTAACTTTAATTTTTGTTTGGAGAGAAAAGAGTTTTGGTTCTCTGTAAGATTTTGTTGCAACATGCTTTGGGTACTTTACATTTTTAGCGATATTTGAATTAATTAATATATTTTTTCCAAATGTATTTTTGGTGAGGCATATGGCTAATTGTGAAAAAGTCCCTGGAAATCTTTCTGATAAAAAATTTGTTAAAAATTAATTTTAATATCATATTTTTAAACATCCCCCTAAAGCATAAAATGTCCTAAGTTTTGATACATTTTTGTTGTGTTAGTTATATTTTTGGGACAGAATGAATTATTCGTGAACTAGGCCTATAGTTTATAATAGTATAGATATCTGTTTGGAAATTAATTACATGAAACAACTCCCACTAAGCAATGTACTAAATCAAGACTAGGTGCAAACACTATTATTTTTAGGCCTTTTCGTTTTTTAAGTAGGCCTAGTCATTGGTATAAAAAAAAACGTAAATGAATAGAAGAAAATTAAAGCCAAATGTTTAATCAATTGGTCTAATTGATTTGGTAATGAGAACATAATGGTGTAGAATTGTAGAGCCTGTACAATTAAAATTTAATTGCCACCATGTAAATGCTATGTGCTTGACGCACTATTAAAGGTAAGTTAAATGACCATTTATTAAAAATCTCAATATATTTGACTGTTACTTTGCTCGAAAACTGTTTACTTATACATACAAATTAAAGTCATATGTTTTAATTGTTTAGTTAATAAACGGTATCAGCAATCTGACACATACTTTCTCACATAAGCTTGTCAACAACCTTTATCATAGGTAAGCGGTGGTAGTAACTGTAATATTTTATAGGGAAGGTTATTGTAAAAGTTGCAATAACCTTTGAACCGTAATTGTTGCAGCAATGGTGGTTGCACTATTTTCTTTAGAATTATAAGGACCATAACACATTATTTTAATCAAAATCTGGCTTTTTCCTAAAAACAGATTTTTTGTTATTTTATGGGGAAATAACATAAGTTACAATATTTTTGGAACCGTAATTTTTCGGAAACGGGATTTGTATAATTTTGTTCAAAATCTAAAGGACTACAACATACAAAATTTGTATCTAAATTGTTTGGCGCGTTTTAGAGAAAATCTGATTTTTCCGTTACTTTACAGGTTTTTATGGGAATATCACCAGTAAAAATCAAAATTTTGAAAAAATTTAAAAATCTGGAGATACCATGGATTAGTACCTACCAACATAATAAATTTCATGAAAATCGGACTGCAGCCTGTGGTCTGTAGCTCTGTACACATTCACACACATGGACATACACACAGTCATCACTTTGAAAATCACTTTTTTGGGTTCAGGGGGATCCAAAACAGATATATCCACTCAAAACTCAAACTCAAAAATGTTCACGAAAACAATACTTTCTCCAATATACTATTTATAGAGGGGGAAAGTAAAAATAGTAATTTTGCGTGTTGTTTTATCAAAGGAATGAAGTTCAGATCGTCTTGGTAATATTGCAGTTTGTCATTGAAGTTTTAATCATCCGAGATATTAAAATTATGAATGGCGTATATTGACGATGATATGCTATTTATGTATAAAATAAGGAAATACAACGGCAAAGGTTGTTGATTCATCTTGACCCTGAAGAAGATGATAAGACAAGTTGTACAAATAAATGGTTGATTTGTAACTTGCTTTGATGGTTTTATCAGCTTGATACTTGGTTTAATATTTTCAAATAAAAAATAATTAATTATTTATTACAGTTTATTACATATTAGGTACATCCGATTTTTAATGGTTTTTTCAGTCAAGAACATTATCTAGGCTGTGCCCCCATATTTTTAGGATTCTTTAAACCTTTTTAATAATCTACGTGCCATAAAAGCACTCTTGTCAATTAGGTTTTTTTTTTCAATTGTATTTAAGTTAGTATTCAAACCATCTGCTTACTATCTTATAGCTTAATCATTGATAAATTGGTTGAATTTTAACCCGATACTTAATCCAACTCTAACCTTTATACCGGTACCTGCTCTGCTAAACAAAATATATCCACAGTGCTGATGTACCTTTAGTATACATTTTACTAAAGTCATGTTTCTTGAACTATTCAGCTAGTTTCTTTTTTTTTCTATTAACAGCGGATAATTTCCGGCCATGTGTCGTGTTAAGTGATAACTGTTAATTTTTTTAAGCTTCTGCTACCAGGAAAAGGTTGTTGCAATATCAAACTGCAAGGTCCTTATCCAAATTGGGTTTTGTAAGCTAAATCACACGATTTTAGTTAATTTATTTGTTCTAACTTTTTTATTTGTCCATATTAGTATTGTTTTTATACATTAAAAACTACTTTTTCAAATAAGATTGACGTTGAATTGGGTTCCACCACTTTTCTTTTGGATGACTAGTTTCCATTCTACACTTGCAGGTGGCAAGTCGACCAATGCGGCGCAGGAGAGACGAGGAGAGGCGGAGGTGATGGTGGGGGCCGGGGATGAGCAGGACGATGACACAAGCTCCGACGTAGTCAGTGAGACCGGCACCTACACCATTGACAAGGACAGCCCCGAGGTGACTACGGCTAGGAACAACATCGATACTGTCTTCGGAGTGCAGAGTCAGACGGTGGAGGTGAAGAAAAACCAGGTGAGACGGTTGTCTTTTAGTCGAATAAATTATATTTTACATATTCAGATTTTTACATGGAATAGGACACCCACCATGGATAATTTAACTAGCTGCCTACCAGCTGTCACACTCCTCTGTATGAGGGGTAGTGAATGTGTTAAGTTAATCCAACATGTTTGCTAATGCTCATTACATAAATGTGTTGCATGGGTATTGATTTGTATTATACCAAATGTAAAAAATATGTAGTTCGTACAGACCAAACACAAATTGGTATCCAACTCCTTAGATCAAAATGTTTGTATATGTTAGCCTATAATGTTTAATTTACTCAAACCCCTTAAAAACACCCAATTCACTTATAAAAGTAAAAGTTGCACATTTTGTGCAGATTTTGGGGTGTTCCCCCACCCCTGAAGCGAAAAAAAGTCTCACATGCAGGTAACATGACATACTTGATACTTGAAAGATTTCTCACGGGAAGCGTCACTGTGCCGTGGTCGTCAAAAATAGTGACCATTTTCATTCATCTTCAAAATACTCTGCCGGTGAATAGTGTGGCCTCTTCAATAGATAACCTACTCCATTAGTAAAATCTTGAACTTTTCTATGTCTTCAATTTTTTTGATTTCGTTTGGGATCTTGTTATAAATCTTGGAGCTCGTAAACTTAGGACCATTTGCTACTAAAGCGAATTTACAAGGGCTAGGTGGACGTGTGTAACAGACATTGCTGTAGTCTGATATGCATTTAAAGACAATCAGATAGACTGGCTGGCAGCCAGGACATGTTTTGCAAGAACAAACTCAAGTCACAAATATGTTACATTGGTCTGTGTATAGCACCCTAAGTGTCAGACATATAATGTCAGTCTATTTTTAAAACCGCACATCACAAGCTCGTAACCTTAGTCTGTAAAGAAAGTCCATAGTTAGAGTTAGCAAACGTAACAAAATCTTTTCATTTACACTGGTTCTGACGCTAAACAAACACGTCGTAAAATTGAAAACTTGATTTTTTATGTCATCTGGAATTTATTAATATGGTAACTGAATGAGTTGGAAATCAATTGTGTAGATATTCCAGTTATCACTTGTGGAAACATCTCCATTAGCATTCACTATTACCAACGTTAGACAAAGTAGTGCTAGCTTGGATAGGTTAGAATTGGCTTTTTAACAACCCTCTCTATTATTTTTTTAATTTTAATTAGAATGACTAGTTTTTTTCTTCAATAAATATTCAAAATATGAGCTCGCATTGCAATACCCCCCTCCTCCCACTCATTATGTCATGAGAATTTCTATCCACTAATTTCAATCCGGAAAATGTTTACAGCATGTTCTATCTATCTATCAGTACATGATTTCTACTGTCATTCAGAGAATGTTGGGTGTGGAAATGTTCTTTATCTAAATCTCCCTACTTGAGATTAAGCGTTATTCTCAATTGTTTTTTTTCGTGTTATATCCTGATTGTTTTTAATAGTAATTGGAATCTTAAATAGTTTTTTTTTATGTTTGTAATGTAAACATTATAATTTGTCATTATTATTTTCAGGTCAATTCCACTCACACCAAATCTACCAAGGTCACGCAATGGTTAGAGCACTCTACCATCACAACAAAAACAGGTGATTTTGGTGGAAAAATTGTAATTTTATCATCTACTATACCAGGAGGGAGTATACTCCCACCATTAGTTAGAGAAAAGAATTTATTTATAAAAATAAACACGTCTGCCTTAAAAAATAAGGTTGCCAATGACACAGAAAAAAATATACACTAATACTGGCAAAATTATATTTTTTTATTAGTTGCCATTGTTAGTTATCTTAACCACCAATAGAATGTGTAAATTCACTACCTACTGTTGTTGAGGATGGCAAAAACGCAATGCATGGTAGCACAATATCAACAATATAAATCGATAAAAAGTTTGTTTTATTCCTGTTGGTTACCATAAATAACATAAATCACTACATTTTTTATTAAATTGACTGTTAAGCTTATTTGGAGTGTTTTTGCGTTCCAGTTGTATTTTTGAGGCAAATGTTGACTTTGCACAGAAAATATATGAAACCAGAATAATCTTAAAGAACAAATCACATTTTTCCAAATTAAGTAAGATCTCCTTAAAAGGATTGAGTATTTTTCCGGACGCTTGTATATTATTCATTAAATATATTATATTTTTGCCAGTTAGTAGTCTTACAAGATGGTACCACACACACACACATCTTTTTAGGAACTGACTTTACCTCATTTCACTCTTCAAAATCTCCCCCGCCCCCCCTCCAGATTTTCCAGTTTAATATGCCTTGTGTTTTTTTTTTTTTTTACTTTTTTTTTATTATTTGCTAACATTTTATGGGGTAACAAGTGTTAGATTTTGAACGATTCAAACGTAATGTCAAATCAAATGTAATGTAATGTCAAACGTAATGTCAAAGTAATGTTAAATTAAACAACAAATGTGCTTACACAGTTTCTCTATGATTTAATTACAAAAAAAGTTTGTGAGTCATCTCTCATGTTTTTAGATCCTAGTCAAGGTGAAGAGTCATTTCACAACTTTTCAACAACTTTTTTCTTTCAGACACAACGAGTATCAACCTGAGCAAGATCCCGTCCCCAGTCAACATGAGATCTCGGCTGCCACTGGTGGCTCCTGTGAAGGAACATGAGCCTCTCAGGTCCTGTCTCAACCGCAAGTCGTACCCGGCCGCAGCTCAGGTAGGAGCAAACACTAGTTGTGGTGTTAGGGGGAATAACCAACCTAACGCTTGTACTGTGTGTACTGTCTACAACTAGTTGTAGTGTAGCATTATTTGTTAAGTTAGTAGTTTAACAAGAAATGGGATATTATTGTAATGTCTAAATGACACTGTTGGTTTAATCAAGATCAATGAACGTGTACTTGTCTGTATCTCATATCTAGAACAAAAATTTCATGCTGTAATAGTCAATATGTAATTTCCAATAATTTTTTTATCTATCTAGGCCTAGATATCTAGTATAGAATAGAGTTTCAATCATAATCAATTATTTAATAACTAAACCAATACACCAAGGTCGTATAAGCAAAAAGGTCAAGATGGAAATCATTACAAAACCATGCCAAACTTGTTGAAATAATAAAATTAAACAAGTCTTCTTGTTGAAATATTTATTCAAGGCCTTTGTTTGTCTACTATTGAAACCAATAACTTCCTCCTGTTTTGAAGCCATAACAAATAACTTAGCAAATAACAGACAAAGTAAAATTATTGCACACACTACAGCTGTATCTGTAAAATATAAGGTAAAGCGGTTCTCACCCATATACCATGGGTCTCTGTTTGCTGTGCAACTAAGACGTGAAGGTTAGTAGAGAGTACAGGAGTACAGGAGTAGTAGAGTACAGGTTTGAGAATGTATGACAAACTGTTTAGTATGCAGTGTGCTAAAGTAATCTGGAAGGACAACTAAGTGCAGGTATCTTAAGCCTAGCACACATCTTCCAAGCGCAGTTAGGGAATAGAAGTGGTTGCACTACAGTGCTCAGTCCAAACGGAAATAGTGCACAATTTCACTGTACTCGGTCGTCTGAAGAGAGGCTCGGATAAAACGGAGGTTAGATAAATGAAAATCAGATTATTAAGAGACTCTGCTGTAATACAAAACTTGGACTATGTGCCTTACCAAACTGTGTATTCTATGACCATGAAACTTACTACTATGAACGGGAAATGTTTTTCTGTCTTATTTCCAATCTAAAAAAAAATTTTATGGCTTGTCCCCTTGGCTCTCAAAGTTAGTAAGTTGAGCTTGAGAAAATTGGTTAACTGTTTGGATGAAGTAATCCTTTTCAACAAGTGTTATAAGAACAACGTTGAAGTATCATCTTACTAAATATTAAGAGAGCTAGAGTTGTAGCTTGGGTACAAAATGAGTTAACGATCCTCTTTTATAGCAATTTAAACTGAGCAATCAGTCAAATAGGTTGTCAGCGTTATCAGTGGATGCCTAATGTCACTGTAAAGATGAGTCATTATTGATATCAGTTACCACTTGAAGAATCTTCTGCGTAAATAATTCACTTCACTCGTTAAAAAAGTGAAAATGATTCATAAACCAAGTTTACTCAAACTAAGTAACTCAATATTTACAAAATAACTGTATTTTAATATTTTAAGTAAACTTAACACCTTTACGCAATAATTGAAAATAACTACTTACACAGGTTTTTGGTATCAAATTGTTGGTTTTGACCACCAATATTTTGTACCAAATAGAAAAATGATAATTTTATAATGCATAATAATTTTGTATTTAATAAATTTTTATAAAAGGGTAAAAATAAAATTTAATAACGTATTGAAAAGTCTTTTTGGTAAAACTATTACTTTTGAAGAATATATTCTTGTACTGTACTGTTTCCTATACTAGAATATTTTAAATGTTTTTTCCCTTTACATAAAAGTAAAAATAAAATATTAGGATAGAAATAAACTGGTATACATTTGTTATTTTATCTCCTGGGGTTTTATTGGTAAGTTAATAAGTTATCATTTAAAACAATGTTACTGCAGATGCTTTCTAAACCATTCTTGGATAGTGGACAAGTCCTATTTTTACTTTGATTTTTTACCTCTCCCTCAAGGTGACAAAACTAACTCTGTTTTTATGGAAAGCTTCCTTACTCCTAATAGAGGTTAGCCTGTCTCTTGTTGTGTTCTTCCTGAGCTCATGACGTGATGGAATCTCTTATTAAATCCTAAACAGTTGAAGGCTTTACTCAATCAACACCATACCAATTAAGCACCATTCTCTATTGTCTTTCTGGAGTACAAAGATATTACCAAGTCTGTCTAGTAAAGAAGCATCGATATTGATCGCTAATGTTATGTAAAATGTATTAACACGTTCACTGTAGTTGGCTGTGACCGGATCCAGGAACATTTAATGTGCTGTGTAGATGAGTGGACGAAAAAGTTTAAATTTAGTTTCATCCATTACTAGAGGCTTATTATAGGCAATAGACAAATTTATTCCTTCAACAATATACACAAATTCTAATGGACATCGTTAAATTTAAACAAGACAACAAATATTTGTTCTGTCAAAAGATACATAATATATAAATGTCACAAAAATATATCTAATCTGAAATGAAATGAAATGAAATACGTTTATTTATCCCAATATTGTACAGAAAGATACAGATAAATAAAAACAGAGAGCAAGATAACTATAGTAGTACAACTATAATTGTTAATGAATCTGCCATACTTATGGGATAGGCCTACATGGGCAGGTGCCTGTGCGTAGGCCTGGTTGTTATCAGTCTGCGAAATTTTAAGGGCAAAAACTGAATATGAGAGATTTTTTTTTCTTAATTATTTAAAATAAAACTGAAATGCGGTTGAGAATGTCGGCCAGTTCAATAAAAAATACCCCCGCCGCAGCGAACCTGCCGACTAAGCGAATTTCCATTTGTCTGAATTGATTTTCAGTTAAATATATTTTAATAAACATTAGGTTTAACAAGTACCTAGGTTTGCTGCTACAAGGAAACTAATAAAGTGTGTTTTTGAGTAAAATATTGATAGCTTAGTACAAAATAAATAAATTTGCCAAGTTTGATCAAAATATATCCATAAACAAGCAAACTGCAACATTTGACAATATTCTCCATAAGAATAACATGGGAATTTTAAATTTACTTTTTTTTTTAATTTTCTCCGTTACTAATAATCAAACAAAAATACTTTTATATACTAAATTATTTGTTTTTTTAAGCTCTTTAAAAAGGTCTAAAGAGAAATCGGGAAATTTTGTGTTTTAAGGGTCAAAAGTGAGAAAAACCAATTTTTACCCCGTAAAGCCCTGTTCCCATGGTCCGATCGTGCTGGTTCGCGAACTCATTCAAGTTTATCTTGCTTTACACCTTTAAACCAAATTTCATCAAAATCGGACAAAAATTACTCAAGTTATCGCGTTCACGGACGTATATATATATATAAGTCTATATATATATATATATATATATATATATATATATACATATATAAAAATTTGAACGAATGGTGTTTTTGGCCTCTGGGGACATCAAAATGAAAAAGTAAATCGGTCCCGGGTCTAGGTCTTACCGTGCCACCTACGGTAATAGCTACTTCCCTATAGGGAAATTCGCTAAAAGACATTTGGAGGGTGGGGGGGGGGGGTCAAAGGGTCGAGGATTTTTAGTCAGAGTCAAGTATGGGTTGGTCTAATCAAAGTCTCGGCCTCTTCTTTGGTAATGGAGTGCAGTAAAACAAGAATATGACTCTTGAATTTCTGTAATGAGGGTAAACTAATATCTGTCTACAAAAAGACATTTGGAGGGCGGGGGGGGGGGGGGGGGGGGGGGGGGTCAAAGGGTCGAGGATTTTTAGTCAGAGTCAAGTATGGGTTGGTCTAATCAAAGTCTCGGCCTCTTCTTTGGTAATGGAGTGCAGTAAAACAAGAATATGACTCTTGAATTTCTGTAATGAGGGTAAACTAATATCTGTCTACAATAAGGTCATCTTAACTAGGCAACAAAAACTCACATGTCATATATTCATCTATATGATGATAAAAAGGATTTTTTACTTGCCAGGAATACAATACAGCAAGGCTTTTGGTAACTTGTTAAACTACTTAAATTTAACATATACTTAAATTGTTGTTAAATATACAGTAGAGGCATGTACTGTGTAGTGGACGTAGTTTTACAAGAAACCAACAGATAGCAGTACTAAATGTAACATCCCCTCAGTATTACCAAATGTAGGACCATAAGAAAATACTGCAAAAAAGGCATCAAGCACAATTTTGAGGTTAGGTTCCTGCCATAATGCTACACTATAGTCATTATTGTTATCTTCTTTCATGTCACTAAATATAAGCCCACAAGGGGTCAAAAGCACTGACACAGTAAGATACAAAAAAGGCCGATCCATAAATGAATTACAGCCAAATGACATATAAAACCGGCAACAATAACAAAGTTCCCACCGAATGCTGGGCTCACACCGACGCGATGTTAGTGAGGGGAGCGCAGTGCTACATTTCTAGTAGTCCACGTGGAGTGCTAGTGAGGTACTACAGTTAGAGTAGCCCGTAGGGGACGTTTGAAAGATAATCAATTATTTGATGTAGGAGCTGACAACGCCGGAGCCGGAGAGAGACAAGTGGGCCAAGGAGACAGAACGGACAATCTCAGTGTTACAAGCCAGGGTATCGCAGTCACTGGACTCTGGTGGTGAGAGTGACGCCGAGAACAGTTTGCATCATGTAGCGGAACGGAGAGACTCCGGGGGAGGTCTGCGGTACAACAGGAGTGTCAGGTTAGTCACTAGAAACTCTCGAAGAGAGAAACTAGGAAATAAGACATGGGCTATTACTGAGTTTAATGTATTGACTTGGTTTTTAGTAACTTACTTCCTTGTATTGTTCGTTCATACTTCTCCATTCAGGAAATAATATATCTTGCAATTAGGGATGGAGGTGGGTGCCTTAAGGTTTGTCGTGGTGTAACATTGCTTAGCGCCTCTGAATTTAAAAGCATAGTTAAAGCTTGATCACTAGAGGTCTTACGTTTGACTATTGGCTTGGATAGAAAATCACCTCTGCTTGCACACCTCTAGTTGTAAAATTAGAATCAGAAATGTTTACAGCTTTATCCGGCATCCCGTCACACAGCACGGCACTCCGTCACGGAAGCCTCAGCACAGCCACTGTCTCGAACCCCCCCCCCCCCTGTATTGCACCAAAAACAAAATAATTTTAATGTAGATTGTGAATAATAACCATTGGCAAGTCATAAACCAAGTTGCTTTGCTTGCAATATCAGGTTCCTGACCAAAATCACTTAAATTTGTACTTGATTTTTAAAGTTTTTGTTCCCTAAAGTGTGTAATTTGCCACTTAGCAAATCATAATTTCTACGCAAAATTTCTTTACTGCAAAGGGGATATAGTCGTCTTAAAGTAAAAATACCGGAGCTAATTTTATTACATATTTTATCGACATGTGAGGTCCAATTTAGTGTACTGTCCAAGGCTTATCATTGATCACATTCACTTTATTTTCTAGTTTACGAAGAGAAAGGCTACAAGAGCCCAAGAAAAATAGTACATCCTCTTTGTTTACAAACAAAACTAAAGATGTTCCTGCCAAAGCGATTCCTCCGAGAGTGGTGAAGCGAATGTCGGATCCACCGCCCAGCTCGGCTCCTGTGTCTACCTTTGCTCGGACCGACTGTGGCCGCTTTAGTATGAGATCTCCTCGACCACTCCATCAGGTGAAGAAATACCTTTGACTGTAGCCATGCTAAAACTGTACCAAGTTTTAGAATAAATACCCCTGCCGCAGCAAAACTGCAGACTAAGCAAATTTCCACTTACTAGCTGAATTTTCAACAAAATATTCCCATAAAATTGTCAGATTTATTTCCTATCTAAAAAACATTGATTTTTCATTATTTGAGATTTGTTGCTACAGGGAAGGTAGTGAAGTGTATTTTTTGTATGCTGATAGCTTAGTATGAAATAAATAAATTTGCCAAATTCAATTTAAATACATCCATAATCAAGCAATCTACAACAGTCCCTACAACAATAAGGTTGGAATTTCTAATTTACAACAACATTCCATTGTATTAAATTATTTGTTTTTAAAGCCCTTTGATACAGTTCAGAAAGAAACTGCAAAGTTTTATGTTTATGGAGTTTATGGAACTCAATTTTCCTCATAAAACTCCCAATCCTACCATGTGCTGATGTTATACTTATTTTGAATACGGAAAATTTTTAACACAGCCAAATCCAAACGATAACTTATTGTGGACAACACAGTCTTTTATGTCGAATAATTATCATAGTACCAAAAAAATAAACAAGAAAAAAGTGAAAACAGCGTCCTCATTTAACTTTTTATTTTATTGGCTGCAGCTGGTCCATATAGATGGGATGTCTACTTCCATAACCAAAAGTCAATGTTAATATTCCATGCTAAAAGCTCACTGTTATTTTGTTATTTCAACTATTTACAGCTCCGTGATAGTTGTAACTCAATGGAACATTCTTTAGTTAAACCATTAAACTAATGGACTTAACATATTTTTTAGAAAGATTTGCATACGTCATTCTGTAATAATTGTTTTCTTAAACAAATCCAGAAGGAATATAAACAATTTGGCTTCTTAAATTGTAAGTTGAATAGTAAAATGTGAGTATTTTTATTAAACTACGGTACATAGTTACTTACAGTTCCCTTTTTACAGGCCCCTGTAACAGCGCCGACCATCAAGAAAGAACCCGTTAGGAAGCTAAGCATTGGGGGAGGTAGAAGCAACTCAACCTTGTCTTCCAAAGAAAAGGAATACCAGAATTGGAAGAAACGCAAAAGCTACGATCCGATGAAAGCAGCTGCCGAGGGTAAGAAGAAGGAAGCAGCGAAAAAACAGGTTCCATCAGCCATGACTCAGTCTACCAACTCTACCATCACGACACCTAAGAGGTAAGGGGTTTGCTTTATACAGTAGAACCTCGATAAAAAGACTCTTTAAGTATTATTTAATAAGACTTGTTTTAAGGTTGACTTCTTATCGAGGTTTGCGATAACATGTGATTAGGGATCACAATTCAAGAGAATTTGAAAATGACACTTGTTATCAAGGTTGACTTGTTAGCGAGAGTCTTGTTATGAAGCAAGTTCAATTTTTGGATCACGGCTTGGTGTTGTGTGTGTAATCCCAAGTGGTTCATCATTGTTTAATCTTAAAGAGTCAAAGAAGATGACTTTTTTTGTGAGTCATATATTGAAAAGTGTCAGGTCTTTCCAAGAAGAGGGTCGCCACTATGAAAATGATGGTGATGTAAATTTACCTAATCTAATCAAATTAAACCTAACCTAACATTATGTAACCATACAGTACCTTACCAAGCTTAACTTGCATAAGATATATTTTATTGGTATCAGCCCTCTTCTTAGGTAGACACGTTGTGACTGTATCTGAAATGTAACCAAACGTATTAAAGAATAAAACGTGTTTTTGTTAAATACTGGTATATGACGTCCTTCATATACAACTTCAGGCATGTACACTGCACTTGTTAATATTTTATTGTTTATATTTATTTAGCCTTATTGCCCGTAAACTTTAGGCTACTATTATGACGTTCATCCATAGCATGTGTTGTACATAGCGTTAACGATGAATAAAAATTCTTGATTCTTAGGTACTAGTACAAGCTTTGTTTAAGACAAAAAAAGTAGAACTACTACACCCTTTTCCTTAAGACCTTTTACAACTTACGTTAGGTCACCCACTATGCTCTAAAAGTACTATTATACCAAACTTTAATAGTACTATTTATAGTTTCATTGGTTGCTAGATATTTCTCTACTCATTGCCAAAGTTTTGTACCTAGCTGTAATATTACCAGCATGCACGATATAGCTATAATGCTGTAATGCTGTGTGTGTTTATTTTGCTTACAGCTTATTGTTTTTCATTGATGTTAATTTTCAGTCCTGTGAACCCCGTGTTGAGATCCGCTTCCTTCCACGGCACTCACCAGTTGACAGCCTCGTCTTCGGAGGAGGAAGAAGAAGAAATCACACTTTCCAACGAAGATGAAGACTGGCCAGTACTACAGGTTCCAAGGGTAACTATCATTTACTCAGTCGTTAAGCAGAGGATTTGATATTTAAGTGGTTACCCATAAACATTGCATGACATTCTGGGATTATTTTTTCAAACTTCTCACTAGCAGTTGTTTTTTTTTTTCACAGAGTTCCAATCTGTGTTTATTTTACCTTATACAGTAGAGTTCTTTTTTCTAGTGTTATATTGATGTGTAGGTTCTTGGGGGGACATCATTAGGAATTTTGTTTTTCACACATAAAATGACGTCAAGAACAAATTGACCATAAGCCGTTAGTACCATAGCAGCTAGATTTTGAAAATCCTCTTCTATGAGTTAAGATGTCACCTTATCCTGCGATCACAGCCAAATTAAAATCTCCTGTGATCTCAAAAACTTCATATTTTTATCTTCCCTGACCGGGAAAAAAATATTGCATAACAGCCGATAAACTGAAACTTAAATTTTACACCAATTCTTGAGTTTGTCAAAAGGAAACTATTTGGGAGGTTGGATAGTTAAGGCTTTACTGTACTCTACTGTTAAGGAGAAGCACGCCATTTTAAAGTTTCAACAAAGTTTTGTTTTGTAGAGTTCCTTAGAGAACACTCCTCAAGGCAGCCGTGTCTCCTTGTACAGCAACACTTCCAACTCCCCCACCCCTCCGTTGCGCAACAGGCCAAAACTTGAGGTAAGATTTGTACATTACCTTCTTATTAATTATTGGCTGATGTGCAGGTTTTTTTACATATTGGAAGGGTGATGTGCTTTGATACATTTGGAAATTTCACAGTTCAAGAAAGCAATATAGAAACTCTCACTGTGAACAATTGGCCTATATTTTCAAGCCTATATATTTGGCTGTGTTTTTGATAAAATTTTTTTATTTAATCCCACTCAGTTTGATAATGTTAGTGTACCCAGAACAAACACATAGACATACCTAAAGAAATCACCTCAGATGATTAGTCCGATTTAAGTTTGATCTCTCTGCAGATATGTGATGATGTATGATATTCAACACTTTCACTTTTTTATACAAAATTTAGGTATGTAAAATTAGGGTTGGAGTATTGAGCGTGGCATTTGACCGAATACAATATGTTAACAAAAATATTAACAAAATTTTTGCTTACCATCCCACAAATATTATCCTTGTTTTTTGGAAATTTTGCTTTGCTAACTTAATTTCTGTAGTTAAAAAAAGTTTAAATTAACCTCCTAGGATTAGTCTTAAATTTGCCTTTACTGCTATTGTGAATAAAATTTCTAAATTAAAAAAAAAATATTAAAAATAAAAATAAACAAAGTCATAAACTTTATCTCTTTTTTTAAGATGGATTTTAATTTCAATTCGAATTTTGCCATGTTACCACCAACTGGAAGAAATAAAATTATTTCACAGTTTTCTAATGTAACATAAAGCTTGAGGTTAAAAATACAGAGATTGTGTTTTGTAGGTGACAAAACCAGTATTTATAAAAGTGAAGGGTCGAGCAGACAGTGAGGTGAGAGTGACATTTCATGTGTTGTGTTTGTATATTGTGTTTGAGCCGAACTAACCAGTCTTATTGACAGTCTGGAGCCATTCATCATCATCACATTGCTTTCATGGATAGTTTTATTTATTCAACAGGTTATTCAATAGTTATTCAACAAGGGTTCACCCCTGTTTACATATAAACACAACATATCCCAACCAGTAGGAATTAAGTAGGGTGAATATATATCTAAAGATCAACAATATTGCACCATATATACCTTTAAAGAAGGTAATAAGTTGTATTGTAGTTAGATTCGATTAGGGGCCTTTTGGGATTTTAAGATGAAAATCTGTTACTTTCAGTGATCCCCTCCCCCTACTTCCCCTGGCCAAATTAGTGACCCCCTAGTGAAATCAGTGACTTTTCAGTGACCACTTTGTTACCCCCTAGTAAAACCAGCGACTTTTCAGTTACCCCCCTAAGTGACTTTTCAGTGACTCCCTAAAAATCAGTGCTGTGACTACCGTGACCAGTAGACACCATGAATTTGTACTATTTATTGCCTCATTTCATTGCAGTATGAGTGGCTTTGCTACACATTTCACTTTTCATCACCTACAAAAGCTTGGCAGGGCTATAGATGATTTTTAGGATTTGCTTTCCAATTTATTATTGTTTTTTTTTTCTGTCATTTAAATTATTGAGTTTACTATAAAAATTACAGATTTTAATTTGTAAGCAACTAAAACTTTGACAAAACCCTGATTAAATGTTTGCATCAATCCATAATTTCCAATAACTTTATGTCCATTTGTGGCAGAACCGTAGGATGTTAAAAAATAAACGTGATTTAATACAAGTTCAATATGCATCTTGAAATGTTAAAAAATAATTTTGAACATCCATACAATTGTTAATTATCTTAATTAGAAAAATAATTTATTAATTTTCTTCAATTTTTTTCTTTATCATTTACTTTTCCTTTGTTTGTAGATACAGTACTAACTATACCAAACAACCAAATACATACCACCCACTGCCGTTACAAGATCTTGAGCTGCTTTGATGCATGTTTGATGTCAAATGTGCTGCTCTATAAATAAAAGCTATAACTTAATACAAATAAGCTGAGTGGTAACAATACTCATGTAATAATCAGATGGTTATCTTTTTTATCAATCTTTTTTATGGTTTCATACTGGATCCAGCTGTTTTTTAACATTGGGCTTTTGATATCAGCAATCCTGCCTAATGAATCAGCTGATGTTAGTCAGTAGCTAAGTTACCATAAATCATTTCACCAGTCATATGTAGCTTATGTTTGGGTTTTAATGTACCTTTGTTGTGTTACAATTTTCACATTCAATGACAAACTCCAGTTAGTAGTGTTCACACACCACACACTTTGCTCACACATTTTTTTAAATCCCTCCGACAAACTTTACCAACCAACTTTTTACTTGTTATTTTTGTTATCAGACTCTTGGTTTTTAATAGTTATACTTTTTTCAAATCAGAATATTTAGCAGTTTTTTTTTTTTTTTTTATTGTGTTCAACGCTTTGGTTTTGATTGAACTCAGTTGTCAAAAGTACCTTTGTGACTTTCTGGATAAACTTATGACTTAGGTTGTATTATTTTGATGATTTTTACAGGGTGTTGACACACTGGTGATCAGCGCGCTGGCTGGACTCTCTAGCAAACTCAAGGGCAACTCTTGCAGCTTACTCAACAAGCTAAGGTAAGAAACTAGATATTTAGTACATTTTCTAAATACTAAACTTTAAACAAATTAATTTTAGCGACTAGTATTTAATTAAAATCCACATTTTTTAGCCCCTGAGCTGATCTTGTGACTTAATCATTAAATAGAGTTACCTTCGTCAATCAGCTCATAGTAGTATTTACAATGTTACGGCCGTTTATGATTATGTATGTTTACGTCGCGTGTGACAGTTTGTGTTTTTGTATATTAACAACGCCACTAAAGCTGAACGTCTGATGATAGCACGAAGATGCTGAAACGGCCGTAACATTGTAAATACTACTATGAGCTGATTGACAAAGGTAACTCTATTTAATGATTTAGTAGTACCTATTTAATCATGTAAATATAACACATCAGACATTCTCTGACTGGGGATGTACCATTGACTATGGCAATACAGTATAAATAAATTAACACCAAATATGTAATCTTTTAAATGTTGAATTTGTGTCACATTATAACCAGCGATGTCTTCCGTGATTGGGGAGATGTCATTATCATCAGTTGCAACTCGCAAAATCGTTGAGAATGGGGGAACAAATCCCATCCAAAGAAAATTCCCAATGAAATTTAATCCCGTCCCAATGAACTGGAATGTATTTTCCCAACCCTACTCAAAATATAGAATATTCATATAGAATGCTCCCTAACATACTGTGTACTGATTCTCAGTCAAAACCTTTTCTGTGTTGTAGGTTCCTGTATGATGAGGACAGTCCCAAGAACCATCAGTTGAGTGCCATGATTGACCAGCTGGAGGCCAGTGAGCCAGGGTCGCCTCAAGTCAAGAGTCCGTCCCGGGAACTGGCCACCACCCTCAGGAATCTTAAGAGGCTGGAATCCATGCTCAAAGGTAAAGCAGCATGCAATATGATAAAAAAATTTGGAAATATGCTGTGTCAATTCATTTGTCAGTTCCGTTTACAGTATTTACTTTTATACCTTTAGATTGTTTTATTTTAGCATACTATATTATTTACTAAATACATTTTTAAAACTAGCTTTTTTCAACTCCTATTGTCAATCGTTAAATAAGCAATTAATTGTTGTTGCATTGATGTGACCAAAATCTGCTTGAAAGTCTAGTGTTTTTCTTTTACGTGAAAATAATGTTCTATACATATCTTATCTTATGTATGTCTATATACATATGTTTTAAATACTTTTTCACCATAATACACAGTAAGCAGCTAAAACCATTTAATGTAATAAATAATCTCTAACTTAATGTTCTGTTTCCAGTATTGGACAATGTACTCTTTGACGAAGAAGAATTTCAGTAATGACTGTTGTTGTTCAACAACATATTTTACGTTCATAACGGAAGTCATTTTAAGCGAATTAAAGCCTAAGTATTTTATATTCGGTGTACAGACGAAGAAACGATTGTTTTTATGTTTTATTAGCTTTAAGTTACCTACTTTCGTACTGTGAAGTTTGATTTGTTAAGTTTCAAGCTTTATGTAAATACATAAGGGGCATGTACTAAAGTCTTTAACTGTGAATATGTAGGATAAGTCGCTGAATGTGATTTTTGTACATGAACAGGTAAGTTATAATATAGAACTGTTTGTATTTAAATAGCTTAATGTTAACGTTATTGAAATCAAAGTCTGTTAGTGATACGTGTGCTACGTTACAATCCTTCCATTTCACCTGTACAGTATTAGGTGGTTGTAGTTTTGTTTGCTCAGGCTATTCAATACATCGTTCTTTTTAATCAATAGAATTTTATCATCACAGCTTTAAAGTCGAAAATTGGATTGATATTTTATTTACAACCTTCACCAGTTCAACCACTTTAATAAATGTTATAATATGTTTGTTAATATGAAGCTTTTAACGAGAAGCATGATTGTGTAATGCCAAGTACCTTAATTATTAGAAAAGGCTAAATAGAAAATAGATTGAGTTATTCCAAATACAGGTAAATAAGACCTAAATAACCTGAATATTTTTCCATAAGCTTTAATTCCTTGTTACTAAGAAAATAAGAAATTTATTCATTTTACAAGTCTCCTAAAACTTACATTGTCGGTCTTATGAGTGTTTTTACTTATTAGATCATATTCTTACCATAATCCCGAATATATTAGCTTTAAATGTAGTGACAGAAATTGAAAACTTTAGTCAATTGCAGTTTTATTTTTGCACAAAGTTTTGTGATTATCGATTTTGGCGTAGCCCGATGGCACAAAAGTTTACTTAGCATATTTCTTCATATGAAATTTTTAATTTTTTTCCACAATGTGTATAGGCCTACTTAAGTTGAATTTTAAATATTTTTTATGTAACCTAACAAAACTACGCAATAGAGCCTGAATGGAGATGAAGTCATTGGTACGTAGTATACTATTTATTGTAGTATATTATAATCGACTTCATAAAAACCTTTTTTCCTCCGCATAGTTTTACTGTTGTAAATCGGATGTCTTTTAGACCAAGCGTTTCATGACAAATGTATAAATCTCGTAATATATTAAACCCTGCAACAATTATTTGACTAAATTATGGCTTTGAGTGTTGAAATTTATTTTTTTAATAAAACTTAAAATAAAAACAATAGGCTAATTGTTTGTAAAACAAAGTGTACGTAAAATTAATGGTCCTTTGTAATCCATAGGGGCTTTTATGTATGGTGTATGTTAGGCTAAGGAAACTTGTGTTCTAAAACTGCCATTTACACATGATTTAAAGAATTACCTTTGTAATGTACTAGTGAGGAATAGATAATTTGTTAAAATCTTCAGATTACTTACTAAATTATTATTATGTTTATCACAAAATTCAAAATCAACATGTAAAAAGTATTTGTTTTATTTTATTTGATACATCCTATCACTTAATAACATTATGAGTCCCTTAAAAAATAAATATATTATAAATTCATAATTCAATTGTCCAAATAAATAATCCTTGAATGTTTATATTCCAGATTTTTTTGTCAGAAGATAGATTTCTCTAAAGATATATTTATTCATGTTTGGTTTTAAATTTAGGATCTCATTTGGTATGTACCAATCCATTAAAATGGTGCTAAAGATTGACTTAAATAGTTAAATATTTAATTTTTCCAGGTATTTCTTGTGTTAAGATAAATATGCAGTAATCAAGATTGTTTTTAGATGACTATTTTTGACTACAAGAAAAAAAAACTTAACCACTATTCTAAAATTATTTCCCTTGAAATAGTTTTCTCTATTGTGTGATAATCACAGCTTTTTGCTCTGCAACGTTACCCAAAATATCACATTTACGTTACTCATTTGTAAGCATTAAATTGTAAATATTGTTAGTTTTTTATTTAGTGGATAGTTAATTTTGTTTTTGGTGCAATACATATCGCTTTTTCTCAATATAAAATGTAAGTAAGTGATATTTATTTTTATTTAGAATAATGTAAGCTAGTGGTGTTTTTTATAAAACATTGCGAGTGAATCAAATTTGTTACAAGACTTGAATTTTTAATTGAACTTTAACGCTGGTAGTTTTTTAATCTTTTACTTTTTTACACTGTTTTAATGATACAACGTTTAAGTTTCAAACTTCTAGTGATATAAGCTGCTTTCCTCTGTAAATCTTTGTGCCAATGTAATTGCATTTTAAATTCTGACAACCTTAGAGAATTTTTTATCATGAAAAAGTGAGCTTGTGAGAATCTTTTTCTGTTAAGGCATCGTTAATTAATTACTGAAGTCAATTTTATTGTTTAGAAAAGAATTTTATTAGAACGTTTAGTGTAAATCAAGGTTGTGATAATATAAGCTTAGCCTGTTCATTTTTTAAGTGAAAAATCGTTTAGAATCAGGTTTTAATAGATTATTACTTTTCCATTCTTCTTTATAGCTACTATGATTTTCCAAAAATGTTCATCTTGATTTACTTTAGGACTACTGAACAGACCATTCTATTGTCAGTAAATTAAGTACCCTCTATTTATGGTGCCAAAAGTAGCTTAATGTAGGAAAGCATAAATGTCGAAGTTAATGTCTGGTATCACTTGTTACTCAAGTTCAATAGCAGAATGAAATGTTTGTAAGACAAATATAGTATTTTACAGCCTTTATATGTTTTTTCTTAAACCCATGACATCATTACCGGTACTTAGAATTATATGGAAACTAAATATTGTATTGTTGAGAAACAACTTAGATTGTAAGTGGTGGCTAAACAAGGACGCCAGAAAAAATTTAAATGAAATCTCTATATACACTGTTTGAAATCAGAAAGAAATCATAGGCCTTTTATAACCCGTAAAAGTTTGGTACAAATACTTCGACGATTTTATGACAACTTGAACAAATATTCAACTCGCAAACATGTTGACACACTTTTACGTTGGGTTTACTAAAATTATGATTCATAATTAAAAAATAAAGAGAAAAACAAAGTCTTGCTCATAAAAATTATTAAATATATTAACCTACAGGTAGTTAAAAATTGTATGTAGGCCTACATTGAATTTTCATTATTATTTTATATTTATCTTGCCTTATACACTACTCAATCAATTAATGATTTAGCAACAAAGAGATAATCAAAACTCAATTCACATTCTAACATTTATTGTATAACAAAACTTCCACATAAGTTCTACCTTTAGACTAGAAAGTACATCAAGGGGCTCCTCACTGGAATCATGAGTAAGTGTAGGGAAGGAGGAAGTGAACGATAATGGGAAGGACGTAAAGAGTGGGGAAATGGTAACTACTGAGTGAATGAGTGGGGAGGTTATGAGAAGGGGGAAAGAGGGGATGAGTGACAGGGGAGAAGTGTTAGAGATAGAACTTCTGATTGAGGGGAAAATAAAATGGGGAAATGTACAAGTGGGGAAGGAGTATTTGGTATGTTCAATAATAAGGGGGAATTCCCTCTTTGAGAAAAAAAAAGAGGATAGAGCAACGGAGGGAAAGAAGTTTTTGAGATAGAGATTAATATGAGATATATTTCCATAAAGGAAGAAATCCCAAAAGAATTACTTTAAGAAAAATAATCTACGAGGAAAAGAAGATTAAAGGTGGGATAGAGTGACAGAGAATAAGGAGTGTGAGATAAAGTTTAAGAAGGGAGGGGATCTCTCTGAGGAAAAGAAAATTAAAGAGAGGATAGAGTGACAGAAAAAAAGGAGTGTTTGATACAGATTAAGGAGAGAGAAATCTCTGAAAAAGAGACAAATAAATGGAGGATAGAGCACCGAAGGAAAGGAGGGTTTGAAACATAGTTTAATGAAGGGAGAAAATCTCTGATAAGAGCAAAATAAAGAAGTAATAGAGCAACAGAGGGTGTTTGAAACAGAACCTCAAAAGCTAAAAACTTATTGGGTGAGGGACAATAAAGAAGGGAAATTTTAGATATAGTGTCTGGGTTGGGAGTGGGGGACACAAAGCGATTGAGTTACAGTAAGGAGGGAGTATCATAGATATAGTTTTGGAAGGGACAGATCTTGCAGAGAGAGGGGGAAGTCATCAACCCTCCGCGGGCTGTTCGGCATACTGCGACTGTTCATATTCCCCCACCATTCCGTCATCTGCAAACACGTTTACAGCCTTTACAAACTAACAATGGATTTATATTTTTAAGTAAAATGATTACCAATTATATCTGTTGTGTTTTTTATTCGGGAAGCAGATAAAACGATTCAACAAGTAAATTTCCTTGGAAATATTTCTCAAACAGTTTTTTTTATATTCTCTTTTCTTGTCTACTTTATAACCATGCACTACAAAGCCCCCCAAAATATGTTTTACAAATTATATGCTCTCAACTCTTCAATATTGCTATAAACCCCAAACTTAAACTGGTAAAATGTTTTACGTTATTAACTAAACAAGTAATTAACTGAGCATTTTCTAAAGAATTTCTTTCTGCATAACTGAATTAAAATCTTAGAAAATAAGAGGGCTGAAATTTAGAATAATGAAAGTTGTTTTGACCAGCACAAATAAGGTCTACGTTCTTCATTGTTGAGAGTCATTTATTTTTTATCAAAAACAGAAGAGCAGAAAGTCTTTGGTCATAACATTGGTCACTAAACCGTACTTCGACAGTTACAACGAGTTCTAATTAACATTAGTACTATTCAATAAGACATAAGTAAACGATGTGGCTACCAAAACATATTGAGTTTGTAAATGGTATTAATAAAATACGCTAAGGCAAGGAACACTGTATGTTTTTTCATGTAAATAGGTTTATGAAAATGCACATTCAAACAGTAAATAAATACAAAAATCGTAGTGAGATATGTGATAAGCAGTGTGAATTAATAACTTTCTATCAAATATGTGATACATTTTTTCTTTAATTTTGAAGCTTTAATAAAATAGAAATGAATTGGTGCACAGAAAGGGTATTTTTTTATGTATAATTTGGTTTGTATAAGGTTTTGCCTAAAAAAATGTTTAAATTCTAATAGTTTTGACCCAATATTGTATTTTTTTTTTAGGATCATGCAGCTAAAAAACACTACATGTGTAAACATTTTTTAAAATATCAGTGGGTTCAATGTTCACATAGAAAATAAAAAATGAGCGTTAGATTTTTTCTCTGGCTTTTGTGAATACACTGGATTATTACCTTATACCTAGCTGTATAAGTATTGTACCTAAAATGCAACAACTATTTTTTCTCTATGTAAGCAAACGATAACCAAAAGATGGAGAAAATAGTCATACTACCACTACACTGTTTTTGGGTGTGGTAGCATCTCTAAAATGCAAAGCAAAATGCATATAATTTTATTCAGTAACCTGTTTTAAATCAGTACAGTAAACCTTAGTCTGGGCTGGTTGGTGTATGTTTTAGGAGATTATTAAAGAAGCAATACAGACCACTCTACACACGTTCAATTCCGCTATTAAATTTGATGTGAACAAGCCAAAATGAATGTGTGTTTGCAAAAGTATGTTCAGACAATGTAAGTTCAATCATGAACTTTGATAAAAATGAGTGTGAGAGTTTTCAAATCAGGTGTTCTGGCAATGTTAACTGTCAGGCCAGAATGAATGAGAAATTCATTCTGGCCTGACAGTTAACATTGCCAGAACACCTGAGTCATTGTCATTGATAATACCCAACACCATAGACAAATCACCAACCACAAGTATACTTCTCATCCCATTGTGAATTTTGAAGCTCGTTTTTCGTGTCTAGTTCATGTCCGGTGACACTGAGCGTAAGTGTCTACAAAATGTTGTTTATATTAGTTTAGGGTTAATTTCATAATTTGTGCTTTACTGGTTAGTTAACTAGGGTACGAGTTATTGTTTATGATTTTATTATAGTTTTATTTGGCTAAACGAGGTTTTAAATGACTGAATAACAAGAAACAAATTGTAAACAAAACACAACCTCTCCAGTGCACCGGACAGAACTAATAATAAAATTGCCTTCAGCTGTTCCATAAGGATGAGAAATCTACTAAGGGAGTTTGATTTATCTATGCCAACTACCAAGGCTTACTGTACGTCAAGCAGCTGTTATCTATTTATTATTTCACAAAGAAACAAAAGAGGCAAAGCAGTTGTCTGCTAAATACCTCTCCACTCTTGCTGATCATAGTTTGGTACTTGCAGTTTACTATTTAGATAGTCTATATTACTTTGTAGGCTCGCCATCTCTTGCCTGTAATCACAATTTTCAATCAACAAGGAAATAACAATAACTGTCAATTTGGCTCAAGACTGTTCAAACTGGCTTCTATAACAAGTGAAAAGATTATTTTAAAAAGTGTCAACGATTTAATTGTGATGAGAGTTATTTGTAGATGGAGTAAATATGAGTTTTTTTTTTTTTTTTTTTTATAATCACCCAACGGTTCAAAGGTTAAGGCTACTATAGCTCAACTGAGCAGTGACACGGGAAAATGTTAACAAACAGAGAAATCCTGTGAGAACTGCCAAGACTAGTGCTTTGCAACATTGTTTCTATAAACCGTGAGAAAAAAACCTTTAGAATTTTAATATTGGCTTCCTGGAAGTGGCCGGATAAACCGAGGACCGGTAAAACCCATGCCGGATATCAGGGGCTCTACTGTACCACTTTACAGTTTCTTCAGGTCAACAGTTTCGTTAAAGACTATGAACGTGCAACATAATTAGGAGTTTCCTATAAGGAAGTTTTTCCCTGCTAGACACTGAAATTTCCTTGCTGAATTTGGCCACTTAAAAAACGCCTGTAATAGATCCTTGTGTGTGTCATAAAATTAGGGGTTTAAATTATTTCATAACCAACACCACAGTTAGTTTTCTTTAATTTTTATCGTCCAAGTTGGTAATCGAGTAAAAAAAGCATATGGATCTTATTTATATTAAAAAAGATAACAAGGACATGTAGAAAAGGAAAACAAGCCCCGTTACATTTACGAGGGTAGAGATATCAGAGGGGAAAATACGGAGCCGAAAAGCTGCATAGATTTTACCTCCATGATATAAATTTAATATTTATAGCCACTGGAAAGAAGCGGAATGAAAGTATAAATAACTCTCATCACAAGACAATGTCAGTAACATGAAACATTACTGGATTACTGATCGTCTCCGAGCCAGCCAGTACGCACAGTGTTGTCGCGGTGGTATACCTGCAGTTCAGGCTCGTAGCCCAGCGACGGCACAGCCAGTCCGTACTGTGTACACAGCAGGTGGAGCTCCTTACAGCTCTCCCACACCGACGCCAGACGACCTAGTAGCTTCTCGTTCTCCTCTCTCAAACTGTTGCGAGTCTCTCTGAAACCAATCTCGTTGCGAAACATTCGCGGATTTGTTAACCTAGCTTAATAGGCTGCAATCTTTTAGTTTTTTTCAATAATGCTTCAAATGTATTAAACCGTAAAAATAATTTTAATGTGAAAGAAAATAAATATTTATAAGTATAAACTCTTATCTTTTGAAATGTGCACAATAATTTGACAAATTCGGATGAAGGGCTTTGTGGCTTCAAACCTTCAACCGTTGAAACTGTACTTTAAGAAGCGTAATGGGATATCAAGACAAAACCTTTAAAATATATTCCAAAGTTAATAGATTTTACAATATAAAAATAAAACAATTGACGGTCAACAGTAATCTAAATTCAAAGAAATATTTTCCAAATACATAACTTACTAAGTATATTTTAAAACAAACTTCTTGATTAAAAAAAAATAATTAATGTAACTCAAATCACTTGAAAAGAGTTGAGACGGCTTACTTAAACCACAGACAATAGACCATTATTATTTCTTTTGTCTATGCTTAAACCCAATTTCCTGTTTTCTCTCATTTTCTCTTTAATATTCTTTTCTGGATTGACATTATAAGACACTAAATTGCAGTATTTTCATACCACTAGATTTTCAGATTTGTATACAATACACTATATTATGAGGTTTATGCTATGAAGGTCCCTTTAAAGAAAATATGTATTTGAGAATTTTAAACTTCTGTTTTTGTGCAAAGGGTTTCTTTTTCGTTATCGATTTTCTTATGACATCACAATATATCCTCAAAATACTACAGTATATTGTAGCTCTTAGCCTGCAGCTTTGCTATGTGATTTCTTCAATCTTATATATAAAACAAGTCTTGGTATAAAAAAGTATTTTTATGTATTAAAACAATAATCACATAAACACTTGTAAATTGATCTGCAAAATAGTGTTATATTAAATACTACACTATATTACTGCTGTTTTCCAGAGCTATAAAATTCTATTAGGTACTACTTTATTAAATACTAATTTTGAAAAAAGTCCAAGCAATAATAAGATTCTGTTCTTATTAATTTAATATCCATAAAAATGTCATTAAAACTTTGTTGAACCTCGGGTATCTTTGGAAATTTTAAAAATCCTGTCTTTTTGCAAATCTAGGCAATAAAAACAGAAAAATTGTAACTAAACTATACATCTAATCTGTGATTTTTTTACTCTATGTCGTAACACTTCAAGCCTAAAAAATTTTGTAACTATGTTTGAAGCTATGGACGCAGACAAATAAAAAACTACAGCTTTAATTTTATAATAAACTCTAGAAGTGCCACTGACCTTCCGAGACTTCTCCTTCTCGTTTGGTGATATTTTAACCGAAAGGTCAAGTTTTACTTGACGCCGCTTACGACTTTTCTCCTTCCCCTCATCGGCCCCTGATAAGAATGCTAAGTTCTTATCATGCACTTATATTAATGGCTGTCCTTTCTACCTTTTCATTTTTGTATTTCAAATGTTTAAAGTTGAGGTAGATCTATCTTGTTTAGACAAATGTAAATTAAATTATTAGATTGTGTCAAAGCTTTGATAATCTTTCAAACAATTTCTAAACTCTACACTTAAAACTTTGTTTTTATTTACAGTTTAAAATTTAATCAAAATTTGACTCAAGCAGACATTAAGCCCCAACAATGTGCTAGATATGACTCAAAATACCAACACATTTTTTGGCCGAACGATATGTTATTTTTATGCAAAATATCTAACTTTAAAATTCAAGAGATTTTCATCTGTAGATAAAGGGACCTCCCTACTCCCTAGTTAGTAGTTAGTAGTGAGGTCACCTCTTTAGTCCTGTATGTTATCATACTGGGTTCATTTACACTAGTATTTTACTTGTCATTTTTTATGTGAGAAATTGATGCCTGTTTTGATTTTCTATCCTTAAATGCCAATGAAATTAGAAAAAAAAACACTAATTGGTTTAAATCTTGAAATTATATGTCGAAAGATTTATACAATAGCTTCCAGTAGTAATTAAAAGTTTGTTATTGTAACTCCCCAAGTATTTCAAGCAAAGTATTTTAAAAGCCCCCCAAAATTAAATGCAATAAAAGCTACCTCCCAAATAGAAACTCACATCTGAAAAATTCACTGCAGATAGGACAGCCATAAAACAATCAAATTTTGATGATTCAGCAGATTAAATTATCTAAAAAGTATCCTAACACTATTCTAAGCATGCAAGACCTTACTTGTGCCTCATCGATGTGTCCTCTAGTTTCTCAGTCAAGGAATGACACTCGTCCTTTAGTTTGTCCACTAGTTGTGCCTGCGACTGAATCATACCCTCAAGCTCTGCGATATTTTGGACTGAAACGCACCACACACTGTGAGAGCCGCAGACGCTGGACAAGTTCGGACCAGTCTTCGCTACTTTGCTCCGACAAATGGTCTCATTGTGTCCAAGTACAAATATTTACTTATTGGCAAGTAAAGAATCGATAGATCGTGGATTTTACAATCTGCATCAAACATCTTAGATCTTACATCATTTTGCCTGTTGTTGAGTGATAAGGGTGTTCCCTTTGTTCCCATGTTAAGGTCGTTAAGTAGTCATACAAATGTGATTGTGATATGAAAACACCGATATTCCTGAGACTTTTTAAAATACTTTGTTTTCATTGTTGGTGCAATTTTACTTAATTTCTGCATAATAAAAAAAAATTGGTAATTCAAAGTGGATCCAGTTTGGATAGCGGAACTCTGATGTATTGATTTTAGAGATGGGTTGTTTTAGTGTTACTTGGACACAACTCGACATGTCTGCTCCTATAAAAACCACTAAAGCAGATAAAATGTAAAAATGCAACCACACTCCCTGGAAATACAATTTTTACTATTACAGTTTCAAATGTATATCTTTTATATATACTATTTGCGGTAACATTAAGTTAAAGGTTAAGAAGGCGAAGTAGGGGAAAAAGGGGATTTTGGATCACAGGTAACATGGCAAACCTGGAAAATAAAAACACATATACCAAAGTCGACTCAAGTCCTCAAACCCTCAAATGTAGATACTTCAATATTTCTTTGAATTTATTAATTTCCTGTTATAGTTTTGAATGTATTGCAAAAATAAAATGTTGTGTTTTGGATAGGACACAAAACTATTGGACAACCAAAATGCCAATAGGTGTTTTGGTTATGTAAAAAGGATTTTTTTTTTTTTTTTTTTTGAAGGGAGAGGAGGGAAAATGCTTTTACGCACACAGGTAGCCAGCCTGTAGTGTGAGACTCCTGAATCTATCGCAGACTACTCACTAAAAAACCCCCTCTACTCTGTTGGACACAGACCTGGAATTGTTTGTCACATTACTTCAAGTCAGGCCAACATGTTACCTAAGCCCTCAGGGCTCTCACCGTTTATGGCATTTGGATACTTTATGACCTACACCGCATCCCGGTCAAGGTCGAGCTTCTTGGCGCGGAGAATACCCTGGATGTAATGTGACACACAGGTCCAATTGTCCTCACCCTCCATCATCATCGGTATGACCGTGTCCACCGACAGCAGTCCTACTAACTGTTGAGCATCCAGGCGGGGCCTTTCCCAACGCTGGCAGTGGAAAAAGGTATGTTCCACATCATCGGGAATGCCTGGGCAGTATATGCAATCGGGTGACACGGCTTTGCCCATCCTGAACAGGTACGACCGGAAAAAGCCGTGACCCGTTAGAAATTGGGTGAGGTAGAAGTCCACCTCTCCGCACCGCCGATTAACCCAAGGTTGGACTTGCTTTATCAGTAGCCTGGTCCAGCGTCCCCGAGTCTCCTGTTCCCAGCTCTCTTGCCACAGCTGGTAGGTGCAGGTGCGTTCCTCTGTTCGTGCCTGGTCCTCCCCACGGCGCTGATAAATTGCTTTTCTCTCCGCCGCCAAAAGTTTGACAGGGATGACTCCAGCAACCACCAGGACGGCGGGTTCGGACACTGTTCGGTAGGCGGATGCAACTCTTAGTGCTGCCTGACGCTGCACTCGGGCAAGCCGCATCCTATATACCTCCTTATTTAGAGCGTCTGCCCACACCTCAGCACTGTACAAGAGTACGGACTGGACAGAAGACATTAACAGCCTTCTACGACTGGACCGAGGCCCTCCGACATTGGCCATCAACCGGCTAAGAGAGGAGACCACCCTAGCGGCCTTGTCCGCCGTACGGAAAATCTGATCCCGCCAGCTAAGCTTGCCGTCCACCATAATCCCAAGGTACTTGGCAGAACGACTGGTCTGGACTTCAACGGTGTCAATCCGTTTTTTTGTTAATATCACGATCTCATTTTTGCTCAAAGCAAGCGAGAGACCGTGGTCTGTCATCCATGCGTTTATAGTACGCATAACTCGGTTCAGCTTTAGCTGAGCCAGCTCAACGCTACGTGCAGCTATCAAAACTGCAAGGTCGTCCGCGTACCCAACCAAAACAGTTTCCTCAGGCATTTCAGACCTCAGGAGGCTGTCATACGCGACATTCCAGAGGTCCGGGCCGAGTATGGAACCTTGGGCAGCACCGGAAGTGACACTCATCGTCCGTGGGCCCTCTGTAGTGTCATACAAGAGGAGGCGGAACCGGAGATAATCCTCTATGATACGCATGAGGTATGCCGGGACGTGGAAGGTGTTCTCCAGAGCATCCAGCATATCGCACCACCTCGCCGAATTAAATGCGTTTCGCACATCGAGAGTGACGAGCAGCACAACCCTTCGAGAGTAGTGGTTAAAATCCTCAGCTCTCATCACGGCTTGCTTCACCTCTTCAACAGCGTCAACCGTAGATCGCCCCATCCTGAATACATACTGCCGAGGGGACAAGTCCCCCGCAGCGACCACGGCTGAATTCAGTCGGGAACGTATCAACTTCTCGAGGACTTTTCCAGCAGTATCCAACATACACAGAGGTCTGTAAGAGGATGGCAGGTCTGGGTCTCCCTTCCCCTTCCCAACAAGCACAAGCCTAGCTGTTTTCCAGCACGAAGGGAAAACTCCTTCGACTAGGCAGGCATTGTACATGCGCAAAAGGATCAAAGGGGTTAATAGTCAAAACCTTTTTGAGAACTTCGCCGGGTACCCCATCGGGTCCAGGAGCCTTATTGTTCTTCAGGGATAGGACGGCCGCCTCCACCTCTCCAAGACTGAAAAGTGGTACGTCATCCACCCTTCCGAAATCCCGCAGTGGGCGCAACGTGTGAGCCGGGAAAAGGGACTCGACTATCCTCTCCATAGTGGCCCCATCCATGACGGAAGGTGGAGAGCGGGTGCCAAGTTTCTTGGTTACCAGTTTGTAACCCAAGCCCCACGGATTGGAATCGATATCGTCCCTTAATGTCTCCCAGCAACTACGTTTACTCCGGTTGATGGCTCGACGAAGAGACCTCCTAGCCACTCTGTAAGCATCCGACTTACGACGTCTGTCTACAGGTTCTCTGGCCCTGGTAGCAAGTCTTCTGGCTCTCAATGCTGACCGACGCAATTCCGCAATCTCGGCAGTCCACCAGTACACAGGTCGCTTATTGAACCGGGATCTTCCGCGAGGCATAGACTCATCGCAAGCGGAGACGATTAGTCCCATCATGGATGTAACTAACACCTCTGCATGAGCCACGCTAGTTGCGGGGGGAACCACCGGTGTTCCTCGTAAGATGGCTTCATTGAATTTTGCCACGTCCAATTTTTTAATATTCCATCAAACGGGCACTTGACGAAACGGGGCTACTTGTCTCTGATGACCATCCAGGACATCAAAAATAATGTACTGGTGGTCACTGCCCGTGTAATCCTCCAGAACTCTCCAGGCTCTGATCCTTGGCAAAAGGGACTCAGATGCAAGGGTTATGTCTGGGATCGTTCCCCGCATCCCAGGGCGCCGGAAAGTTGGCGTGTTTCCTTCGTTGACGACAACGAGTCCGGCTCTGGCAGCAAAGTCCAGAATGTACTTGCCCCGGGAATTGGTGAGGGTCATTCCCCGCTCGACAGCCCTAGCATTAAAATCCCCACCCACGACGACGTGTCCTGTGGTATTGCGCACGCTCTCTTCCAGGCGGTCTATCTTCTCACAAAATTCACGGATGGCCTCGTTGGGAGTGAGGTAGACACTAAAGTAAGTGACATCCCGGCACCGAACCCAAACGAAACCTCGGCCCTTCGCGTGACCCCGTACTTGTACTTTCGCTGCATTACGCGCCCAGAATGCAGCAGTACCAAGACTATCAGGGAACCAAAAAGATGGGTCCCTATCACGGTACTGGTACTGTTAGCTGACTAAGAGCGCGTCGACATCGTGTTCTAGGGCAAGCTGACATAGAAGTGCGTCAGCCGACCTGGATCGCTCAAGATTGCACTGAAGGATTCTTGTGATTCTGATGGATGAAGAAGAGTCGCAAACATACAGGGTGAATTAATTAAGTTTCAAGACTGATTATTTCCCGTGTAGAGGAGCGCTTCCAGACCAGTCATATGGCTCTGGCTGGTCAGATAGGGATGTAAGTTAGTGACCGAACCCTCTCCGGTTGCTGGCGGGACGTTATAGAGTGAAAGCATCAAGCGCAAAGTTAACGTTTATTTTATGATCACGTCAAAACATCGTGAGAATGAAAATTCAGCATGTGAAGGAGCGTCGTTATTCCATCATATACCATGTCAAAACAGCATGGAAACACTTCAGTTGCTTCAACGGACCTTCAAAGAGGGTTTTCAATGTTTTCATGTGGCACAAGCGGTTTAGAAATTGCCGCTAAGACGTAGAAGACGATACTGGAAGGCCTGCAATGTCACGCAACCAAGAAAATCTGGTAAAATTGCAGAAGTATTGAACACTGACAGACACTTGAGCATTAGACTTATTGTGTATAGAATGAATTTCAACTACAGTATAGTGTTTAAAATGGTTTCTGAAGATTTCATGATGAAGGTGTGTCTTGTACCGAAAGTGCTCACAGACGATCAATAGCAGCGACTTGCGCATCCACCCAGATTTTGGCCCAAGACTACACGGCCACCCTAGGTAAATCAAAATGTGAAAGTATTTCGGTCCTGGGTCTTACCGTGAAACCTACGGTAATAGCTACTCCCCTAGAGTGAAATTCACTTAAAGGGTCTATAATGCTGAGCTGTGAAAACATCCACATAAAAAAGGGAAGGAGTTTTATGTGTAGATGAAGTTGAAAGAGGCTTTTTAGCAACAGAGACTGATGCTACTAAAATCAACAATTATGGTTATGTTGACAATGCATCATCACAGAAAAATATGTTTAAAACAAAATATGCCTAAACTGCATCGTCAAGATTAAGATTGAACTTTATTACGGTACTTACTTAAACCACAGACAAAAATAATTAAAAATTGACTGTCAGCCGTGCTGCAGTTACCATAGGTTCTGGCACACACCACTGGGAGCGCTATGTATTTGTTGCCATGTATAAAATATAGTCAGCCATGGTAACCGCAGCATGGCTGACAGTCTATATTTAATTCTTTTTGTCTATGCTTAAACTTAGGCTCATATTGATTGGCCAATTGAGAATGTGGTTGCATCTCAGAATTAAAATATTAATAAACAAAAACTAAGAAAACAAAACCTTTATGGAAAAAACATAGGCTACTAACAACTATGCAACATAGAAAATCAAGGAAATAACAACAAACACACAACACTCAATAGAAAATCTCAATTTTTATAGTACTGTAATTGTAATCTTACTGAGTAAAGTATTAAATCAACATATTATAATTTGAACTAAGGATATGGCGCTCAAAAAGATAATGTCAAAACTTTATGTTCCGGATGGGTGTGGTACACTAAATACAAGTTTCTTTAATAAAATATTAATTTAAAATTAAAATATTGATTGATTTTATACAATCATTGAAATTGTGAATGAACATAGTTTACAAACACATATCCCACAATTTTTTTTTAATTGTAGCACTAACCGTACTTTCATACATAGTTCAAAATCTAAAATGCTTTACATTTATCAGTTACCCATTTTTAATTTGGTAAAAAAAATCAAATTTAATAATTTACAATAGTAAAGAAATGAGCTCTTCATTATCTACTAAAATTCTCAAGTCATACTGCATTGCAAAATATGATATTTATTCAAGTGAATTGATCAAAACACTTATTGATAGTAATTTTATGATCATTTGGTGAATTTTCATGCAGCAGCTTTTTGTGTGTATTTATAACAAATTTACACTTACAGAGCACTTCAAAGCAAATTTACACGAAGCTTGTAATCTTTTTAAATTTATGGATGCAGTGCTCATTTGTCAGAATGAATTGTGAAACAATTACAGTATTTACAATGTTGTGCGAGTGATCTTCCAGTTATGAAAAAGGTGTGAATATAGCAACTATATGGGTGTTTATTCGGTTTTTACTTTTACAAATGAAATAATTCACAAACTAATGTTTAAATTAGAAATTGAAATGAGATTTAAATGTTTTTTTTTAGGTAATACATTAAACAAATAACTTTATTTCATGTAATTATGTAAGAAATTACTGGTTTATGATGATATTTTTACAGTATGATTTTAAATATTAAACATAGCGCACAACTAATCAGTAATGATATAAATAAATAATAAAGCTAAATAACTATAAGGTTGGTAAAATATATTCAAAGACGTTATAAAACAAGAACACTTACTTGTGCATGTGCACCATAATAAGATTTATTGAAATTTTAAACTCAGTGGCCAGATGTATTGAATTTCATGCAAATTATGTATAACCTTTGAGTATTAATACAACTTCAGTATTATTAGGCCTACTTCAGTATCCAATAGTCATGGTATAACATAGTTATTTTATTGTTTGTCCAAAAAACTACCCCTACCTGTAGTATTATTTGCATTTTTTTATCAGAAAATAAGCACCCATCTTTTAAAACAATTACTCTACCTGGAGATGAGATACCAGTTTAGTCTTCAAGTACTTGTAAAAATAATTTCCTGGCTAGGTTAACAATATACTACTAATCACGAATACTGTAGAATAAAACCAGGTATGGATCATAAACATAAACAAATGACATTGTTGGTCCGAATCCTATACTAACATTAACATGGTTTTGGCAGTTCCATTTAAGCAATGTTAAATAGGCTAATGTTTATTTTCAGGCCAAAAACGTCATCTGTTTATGTTTATGATCCATACCGGTTCTTATCAAGTATTCGTGGTACTAATGTAGTGAATAAATATTTTCATATCGATTGGAAAGTTTCTTAAATTTAAATGTTGGAAGGTTGTTAAAGAAGCCACAAATACAGTTGATGCTTTCAAACTTATTTAGCAGAACCATAAGTATCTGTTGTTTTATAATTTGTCAGTAACAAGCCAAACGTACATTTCGATCATTCAAACTACAGTATTTGATCCAAAATTAACCTACAAAATTTTAGGAGTAACTGATAAATGTAAAATCTGATTGCTTGTTAAACAAACTGAGGATTTCCTACTAAATAAGTTTTGACGTAAAAAAAAATAAATTAGAAAACAAAATCAAAATAAAGTAAAATGGTAATATTAACCAAACATAACAAGCAGGCTAATCTATTCTACAGGTATATGTACAAGAATCAAAAGGGTTTACCTCAAAGATAGTTCTGCAGAAGGATTGGCTCTTGAAGTCATGCACACAGAATGCTTCATCATGCATGATCTGATCATGCATGCACTTACCATGCTTGGCGTCCATGTCAAGAATCATTGATGTTAGCTCTTTCTCTCTCTTAGAATCCTTCAATATCTCATTTTCTCCACCATCATGAGTGAGTTTGGTCAAGTGTAGCTGCAAGCATAAAAATATATTTCGTATTTTGATACCTATAAGGTTTGTAACAAATTATCATAAAAAATTTGAATTTTCCAAATAAACTAGTAACATATATCCCTTGAGTTAATTTTAAATACTCACTTGACTGTTTTTTTTTGTTTTTGTTTTTTTTTTATCACTGCAAATAATTAATACAAGTACAGTACCTTCAAATATGTCTTAAAACCTAAATTGATAAAAATGCTGTAGTTACTAAAGAGCCTTACAGCATTGTCTTGGAGAATATATCGGCGGTTACAATACATTTGGATTTTTTTTTTTTTTTTTCTTAGAAGTCAATCAGCAAAAAGTCTACACAGATTTTACTAAGTTTTTTAGAAGTATGGTTTCTTCATCAAAAGAGCAACAGATTTCAGCCATCCTGCACACCATACAACGCAGCTCAGTAAGACACCATCCTATATCATCCGCAAGATCGTCAATGCACTGCCCCAAGACCTCAAATTTTTAGAAGGAATCAACATATTAATTGAACCTCGGCATATGAAAACTAAATCTTATATTTTTTCCTATAAATGACTCAGCTGCCAATGACAAAAATGGAGGTTCACATTGGAGCCTTTTATTATTGCTTGAAACAACAAATAACAACTGGTTCTACCTTGATTCAGCAGGTGAGTAGAACCTATATCATACAGAGCAGGTCATCAAGAAAATTGCACACACTTAAGTTTAAATGAACACTCAACCTTGAACAAAGTTACTGTCCCTCAACAAAGTAACCTCAAAACTATGAGAGGAAACACACTATAATGGGGACTGCAAGACTAACTGATGGAACTACCTGTTTACTCAACCAAAGAATTGTTTAATATCTTACAAAGATAGAAGACCAGAAAATACCTGTAAAGAAAGAGATCCAAACAAACATGACAATACCTATTGTATTTCTTGAAGAAAGTCATAATAAAGAAATGTTTCTTTTCTCAGGGGCCCTCTTCTACAGGGTCCCTCTTCTACAGGGTCCTTCCCTAAGAATGTTTCTCAGGGGCTACAAACACTGTTTCTTAACCGAGAGTAAAAATGTTTCATTGTCCTTTTACTCAATGAAGAAACTCAAAGAAAAACATTTGTGATATTTTGGTATGGATTGACCCAAACTTGTAAAAGGGTTAAAATGCAAAATTTAAAATATGCTAGAGTTTACCCTTAGGTTTATAGTTGTCCCTTAAGATTTACTTTGTTAAATTACATTTACAACAATGCACTATGTTATATAGTAAACTATTTTTATGACAAATGATATTGACGCAAAACTATTCGATCTAACCTCCTTCTCGAGAGAGGCGATCTGCTCGGTGAGCCGCAGGTTTTCCTTTCGCGCATGCAGCAAGTCAGCGTCCGCCCGGTCCAGTCGCTGCCGTAGACTGGTGACCTCCGCTTGCAGCCGCGCAGTCTCTTGTCGTGACGTCCGCTCAGCCCTCTCCACCGCCAGCCGCAGACTAGCTGCCTCCTGCGCGAGGCTGTCTCGGTCCGCGGACGACGCCAGCAGTTCACTCTGCAGTGCGCCTTGTGAAACAGTCGACACTCTTACTCTGCAAGCTATGTCGGAGTAACAAGACACAGTCGATTGGAGATGAACAAAAAATTTTAAATATAAACTAAATTGAAAGGGTAATCATAAAATTATAAAACAATTGTGATTGCAACATAATAGTTTGTGGGTGTATAATTTAGGTCTCTTAAAAAGTTTGGACAACACAAATTAAGATGGGAAACTATTTAAGAATAATTTGTTTGCTGAGATTGTCTGGACATGTAAGGTAATAAGAAGGGAAGATCAATATATGATAGAAATATGAAGGAAACCCCAGATAGAAGGCCAAAGGCGTGAGAGCCAATAAGCAAAGAAGATAAACAGGTTCAGAAGAAATGGAGACAGTTAAATAATAAACACACGTGACAGTAAACACCTCCATGAATAGAAAATGATAACGGCAGTAAAAGTTAGAACACAAAAAAAATTATAATAACGTGAAAAACATAGAGTTCTACTATAAAATAGTAGGCCTTCTCCTAAAGAGCATGAGATTAATCATTGTATGCGGTTCCAACTTGCACCTTTTACATATTTCTTCAATATTATTCAGACTATTTTTTTATGTAAAATATATGACAATTCTCATCAGGTACCTACTTCATCTTATAATTTTGTTTGTGAAAATAAATATTTGACTTTAACTCTTATCCATTGATTGCTTTAGAAAAATCATTTCCAAAAGATATTCATACAACTGTGATCTTTAAAAGTTGATTAAGGAGAAAAAAAACAACATCAACTTAAAAACAATTGTAAATTCAAAACTAATTTCGGTTAAAAAAAAATAAGTGTGTAAATCATAAGTTTAGTACTTCGGCAATAGTCTAAGACGTTTGAATTTTACACAAACCTCCTATTATTTCTCAATATGTAGGAGTCATATTTGATTGAAAAAAATGTGCATAAAATTAACAATTACTCACTGGTCTTTGTATTCAATTCTTTCTTGAGTTCATCAATTGTAGCGTTCCGTTGGACAAGCTCTCTTCTAAGTTCTGACTCTGTTCTTCTTTGTTTCTCCAAGTCAAGACTCAACTTTGTAGAGTTCTCCCATTGGGCAGACAAGTCCGCGCTCAGCTGTTCAGTTTGGTTCGTATATCGTCTTTCCACCTACAAACATTACTTTAATACATTGTTTGATGTTTGTATTTATTAAAGTATGTTCAGTTTAAAAACTATTGTACAGAAAGGAACATCTAAATTTTGGAATACATCATCCAATAGTTTGTATTCGAAACTGTACTAAAATTGTGAAACAAAATTCAACAATTTAAAGACTAGCTTATGTAGTTTTGCTAAAATCAGAAAAGATTGAGTTACCTCAGCCAATCGTCTATTGTGCTCTCCCAGACTTTCTCGCTGTTTCTCGTTCATTCGTTCTAATTCATTTTTCAGCCGGCGCATTTCCATTTCACACTAGAACAAAACTTGAATACATAGCATTTAGGTAACTTAAACTCATTACTATCTTTGTCATCTAAAAATGTTCAATTTTGAATTGCAAAGAATAAGTTTATTTTATTTTACATTTTGTATCTTAACTACAACATAGCTAAGATATTTATAGAGCTTACAGTAAAAGCATAATGATGGACAGTTAAAGCCAAGTTAAATAACATTTCAAAACAATTTCAATACTGTACTAACTGTGAGTTGTACAACTTACTGGTGGCAGCAATGTGTTAATATTTTAAACTACAAAGCTAACTTGACACTTCTACTTAATTGTTCTCAATCTTTGCACAAATATGTATTTAAATCAATAAACAATCCCAGGCAAACAAAGAGTTAAACCGCATTAAATATCTCTTGAACCAACTTGTATCTAACTATTATTTTTCATAGTAAATCTACAATATTTATTGGCACTCTGGTTTTCCTACCTGATTCTTCTCAAACTGCGCTTGGTCCACAGCGTCGAGACTTCTCTTGAGCTTCTGTGAAGTGTTTGCTTCCTTCTCTCGTAGTTGAGCCACGGTTCCGTGAAGTTTGTTGATCATATCATTCAACTCCTCCCTTTCCCTAAAAGTGTTGCAAATTGTTCATGAATAATATCTTCTTTAAAAACACTAAAAATGTTTAGTGTGTTTTAGTAAAATGCAGCTGTTCAATCCCCTGAGGGCTGAAACTGCAGTAATGTAATACTACACCAAGGATCACCTGACAGTTAGGTATTTAAACCATTTATTAATTAACTAAAGTGATTCGAAGGCTAACATCATAAAACCAAAAATGTGTTAACCTTAAATCTAAGCGACACAAATTAAACTCAACCAAACCGTTTTCATCCAAAATAAAACGGTATTGTACTTGCCAAAATATTTTATAACTTTTTAGTTTCCGAGATTTAATTGCATTACACCTTGAACAATATTTACTTTGTATAACTCCTATACAATGTTCATAAAACTTTTAAAAAACCCTTTTTTCAAAACTGTTTACTCTTGCCTGGAGCATAAAAATTCTTATCCTGAGAACATAAAAACCCTAAATAGTTTAATCTTACCAGCTGGAGTCATACTGTTTGAACAACTCACATTCTCAAACTTCTTCCATTTGCTAACTATCAAGCAATCAAACTAACCTCTGCAACGCTTCAATCTGTTTATACAGCTCTGATTCAGACGCCTGGGCTTGGGGAAGATAGGACATCAATGAAAGTCCTTGTTCTGACATCTTCTTCCGTAGAGTTTCTGCTTCTTCCACCGCCTTCTTGAGATCCATCTTTGTCTGTGTCAGTTGTGCCTCCAACTCACTAATACGAGACTCAAAAATAATACTTGGTCCCACCAACGGCTTCTTTCTACTTCGAGATTCCACCTGAAAGGAAAATTATACATTTGTCAAATTTTATTACATTCATTTATTCAAATGGTGGTTGTCGAGTATGAGGTTTGTCTTCATTGACTGGAAAGATATTTGAAAACTACTTTTATACCGGTAATCTCATTCCAGTTCATCCTATAATGTAATATTTTTAATATTGAAACAACATTAGATAGACATTTAACAGACATTTAGTAGGCCTACAACTTGTCCCCGTTAAAAAGCTACACGAGAACAAAATAGCACAATAACGAAATTGCTATTTGTGTATGTGAGCGCAAAGTATGTCATTTACACTAGAGAACTGTAGCGGCAATGTCTGTTTGTGCTCGTAATACACACAAGATTCCTATCACAGTTCCTACCACAGTTAACACACAGCTTAACATTTTAGTTGAGTACCTATAAAATGTCATTTTGGTTATGTTTGTTTTTTCTGTTGGAATGAATGGGACCTAGATCGTCACTATTACACCAAGTGTGAAATCAGCTGATTTAATGAGTGAGAATGAATAAATCAGAAATGAGCTATTTTGCTTACTGTTTACAAGTGTGGTAATGTGTTCATTTGTATGCAGTGGTAGGAAAAAATCATTGCAGACAAACAGTACAAGCCAGATCAGAGACAAGGTCAGCATTGAAGTGGCTACTAGGATATTTTTGCTAGATGTATTGGCAGAACATACTAGTTCAGTACTAGTACAATGGCTACTATTCAAGTTACTTTTAGGTAGGGTACTTCTTTCAATATCAGAGATGGTTTTAGGGCTTACAAGAATAAATCAACAATGGGAAGTTCTTAAATATTAAAATACCTTGTCCTCTGAACTAGCATCATCATCATCATCGTCGTCATCTTCAAAGCTGTCCAAAAAATATTGCAACATTCCGGCCTTTCGTTTCTCATGTAAACCCTCGTTTTCAGTTATTACTTCCTTCACTTTGCCCATTAAATTTGATAGCTCTTCCTACAAAATAGGTAATATTTACTATTTAAACTTTCAAAAGATTAATCAGCCTAGATGTGCGCTTCTAGAGCAATGTTGTTTGAAAATAAAATACCTAATTGAAATTATTAGGCCTATTTAGAAAAAAACTAACTTGTAAATTTAGTTTGATTATAGTCTAAGGACACATGAATGAAGAGTGAGTACCAATGAAATTGATTTTAAAGTTTGTTATCAAATTTTCATGTCATAAATAACCAGCAATTTCTGTAAACTTCTAAAAGACCTAGAAGGCAATAATAACAAAACGTTATCAAATTACAAAACTGCATGCTGAGATATTTGAGATATTTGTACTTTTTTTTATCAAACCTAATAAAATAGTAAAACCGCTTACCCGACAATATTGCGATTCTTTCTCCAATTGCTCTATATACTCCTCTTGGCGCTGGACAAAAGACATTAGCTCTGGAGTAGGCTGGGAATCTGCATCGGGTTTCTTGAGGACGATTGCAGGTCGTGGCGTTGACGGAATTATACTCCCATCTCCTGGCAGGAACGGGTGGTAGTGACCCTGTAGCATACAAATACGTTAAGCAATATATAAATCACAAGACATATCATAAACTATTTACACGAGCTTCCTATAAACATTAGTTAACTCATAATTACAGCCTGTTAATTAATCACATCATTTGAAATTTAGGCTAAATAGGTCTATGTCTATTAAGGTTAAGTAATTACTTACCAAAGAGTATTTTGAGAACCCTGTGGAAGGAGTATATGACTCAGCCAGAAGATATCTTAGCTTAGACACTGCCTCTCGATAGGCAAAATCTGTGTATCCTGCCCCCTTCTTGTGGAGTCCCTCCATTTTGCTTTTCCTGAAATAATATGTCTACGTTAAATAGCTTATGAAAATTAACTACAGCACAGAAGTGATGTGTAGTACAGTCTTGATGTCCAAATATATTTTCTATGATTTCACTTAGAATACAATATAGTGTATCAAGTTATTTCTTGAAAAGTTAGGGATCTGTATTTTTGAACACCATACTGACTTCAACTCGAGAAGAAACAGATTACTTGAGCTAAATGATATAGGTAATGATTTAATCTTTTCATTAAGTGTAATGAACAATTAGGTACTCCAATTCTTTGTAATGATAAATATCTAACATTGTGTAATAAATGTCACACGCAGACTATTCCAATAGATGAACTAACTAACTTGATATAGTATTATATATTACTCATTATGCTACCGCTAATGGTTAAATACCACTATGATAAAATACCTTTCGAAATTATTGTAAACTTTGATTAATTAATCTTAATCATCATCTCTAAGTTTTTCGGCTCACCATCGTTGAATGAAATTTTGGTATTGGTAGGTTTGGTTGGTTTATTTTAGAGGTTAGATCATTAGATTACACGTTACCATGGAAACAGGTTGGGTGGAGTGGAGACTTGGGAGACTGGAGTGGAGATGCCGTCGCGTCGTTTTGGGGAAAAAATTAAAATAACACACTCCTCTTTTTGTGAAGAAAAAACTTCAACTTCACAACGGTGGTTGAGTGAAAATCAAAAATACAGTATGGGTTAAAGTTAAAATCACTGAGCTATAATTCTATAATTCTAGAATTATAGCTCAGTGGTTAAAATAGTCTAAATCAAATGATAATCATTAAATTAAACATTTTGTCTTGTCTCATATTTGGGATACATTCCGAAAAGTTTATCTGGATTGGAGTGAAATAGATTCAATCTGCTCTACAACCATTTTGTCCGGCTTTGATTTTTCTTATCAGCTGTCTGCAAAATTCTGTTCAGCTGTTCACTGCGCTGCTTCCACTGAGCTAAGGCTGCTTCGCTTCAGTGTTTCTGCTAGCTTGTGAAATTGAAACGTGTGTTTTTGTTTGTTTTTGTTTATGTGATGGTAAACTAAATTCGTCCGTCACCGTCTCTAGCCGTCTACTGTTTGTTTATGTTAAAGAGTACAGACTTTATACCCGGTTGAGACATAATTTCGTAGTTGGTTTTATAATCTAACTAAGGCCTAAAAATTATGATCTGGTTTTATGCTCAGTTGAGTTTGTATTAATTTTTGAAAAGGTTGATATAAGTTTTGTACTGTTAACTGAGGTCTAACCTGTAACCCACAAGTTATTTTAAGGTTACCCCAATAACTGTAGTACTACAATGAAAATAAAAGGATTTAGTGACTTAAATATATCCATACCTTATGAGGAGTTTACACCCAATCATGCCCAGGAACTAATTGATCGTAAGTTTATATTCTCAAATTGTTGTAAAAGATTGTTCATGTCAGTTGCACTAGATAACCTGCAACTAGTCCGTCTATTCATATGCACCTTAACTAATATAATAATTCATCTTAACCATAGGAGTATCTATATCAAATTTTACCTGTATAACTTAAATTTGTCAAATTAGAAGTGAAATACACAGCGCATAGACCTAGTTAACTTTTATATTTTCCGTTAAGACACAGAAAACATACTACTATAACCCAGAATGCCAACCGCATGGTAAAAAGCATTAAGTGTTTTGAGAGAGCTTTGCCTGTCAATCGTAGGCAGCGCCACCAGCGTTGCTATGCTGAGTGCATGGCAACGCTGGTGGCGCTGCCTACGATTGATAGGCAAAGCTCTCTCAAAACACTTAATGCTTTTTACCACGCGGTTGGCATTCTGGGTTATAGTAATATGGTTTCTGTGGTTAAGATAAAGTAGTTCTTGTTGATCCTCATGGATATTGCGCTTACATAGTCGTAGTGCTTAAAGAAATAGAATACTCTGAACTGGACATACAGTAGATAGCCTACACGGATCATTACACTTCATTCTGCATTCATATTCACTCTAGTGATGTGCGATTGCGAGATGTTACAATCAAAACGTTTCGATTGTTTGAACCTCTCGAGACGTTTCGATTGTATTTTTGCTTAGTGAGAGGTTCTTACCGAGAGGTTTTATCGAGATGTTCGTGACAATTGTTTCGTTTCAGCACGGCTTCTCGTATCTCGCATTCGTCTTAGAGAACCGAGAGGCGAGAGGTTCTTACCGAGATGTTCCTGACGATTGTTTCGTTAAGTGCGGCATCGGCCGCATCGTCATTTATTATCATCTAATTTCTATTGTATGTGCCGGGGATTGACTCCCCAATAAGAGGTATATCTTACTTCAAACCAACAAAGGTTTATGGCTATATTACTTAATTACTTTTTCTACGGAATAGTGACTTAATACCACTCAATAAAAACTATTGACAAAACGATATAGCCTATTTTACAAAAAAATGTTTGTATTTAAATCAAAATGTTTATAATGAGACAGAAGGTTCTCATAGGCCTAAATGTTTTGTTAACAGTATTATTTACCATATTACCCATTACTTAAAAAAAATTTTTATTTCTGTTGCCATGACCGAGTGACATAAGTGCTTATTCATATGTCAGCAGTATATATGTTGTGCATAATAGTCTAGTATTCTATAAGAATCTAGAAAATCTAGAAAGAGAAACATCTCGATTGTACAAACCTCTCGCTAAGCAATCGAAACAATCTATAAGCGAAACATCTCGAGAAGGAACATTTCGATTGTTCAAACATCTCGCAATCGCGCATCACTAATTCACTCATAGGCCTATTTTGTTGTTAAAATTCACACCTAGGTGGCATCCCCAAACAATTGGTAATGGTGAAAGTGTATGGTACCCTAGAAGAGATCAACAAAAATGGTGATTAACAAGCTCCCTACATTAGGTACGGTACCTTTTTTGGCAGAACGTTGATATTCAACTCCTTCATTTGTTAGTATCGATCCAAAACTAGGTAACTTATTCGTAGTTCCAATTCTATCAATTTATAACAACTCTCTATAATCAGCAAAAATTTGATGCCTGACTCCATCATATTATCGATTGCTAACTTAAGTTAGGCTACGTAATTTTTTTTACCGGTACAATTATTTGAAAGTTTGGGGTTTGGTTATCGATCGAATCAATAGGCCTAGGCCTACTTAACAATTGTATTGTTCCATAGGCCTAACTTAATCCGATGGAGTCGGATATCAAAGTTTCACCATCATATAACATAATAAATCCTTATATATAATACATGAAGGCTGTAGTATATTATTAAAGTAAAGTAGCAAGAGGAATTTAAGTTTATGAATTGGCTACACTGACCACCGATGACGACAACAGCTGACGTCACAGCCCGACGTCGGAGACAAGCAGTCTAGTAAATGCATAACAGGTTAGTGGACGTAATTACGATACGTGTAGTTGTAATAATGGCGCAGTCGCCGGATTAAATATTGGTTTTGTCGCAGTAAAACTAGTGAAAGTTTTGTAAAGTGCGTTCTTTAAAACCGCAAAAGTGCGAAATGTGGAGTATCGGTAGAGTCTCGGAATTTAATCCCCACGAAGAGGACATCAGTTCGTATTTATTACGACTCAAGCATTACTTCAAGGCCAACGATGTCAAGTCGACGAATCATGTCTCCATCTTGATAACAGTGATTGGGCCTAAGATTTTGGCTGTGTTAATGGACTTAATATCCCCTAAGAAGATTGACGATGAAACATACGAAAGCCTAAGTAAAACATTGGAAGAACATTTTGCTCCTAAAAGGCTCGTTGTTGCGGAACGATATACGTTTTATAGTCGTTGTCAAAAACCGGCAGAGTCAATAGCGGAATTTATGGTCGCTATCAAACATTTAGCCAGTACTTGTAATTTCGGTACATTCTTAAATGATGCTTTGAGGGACAAACTAATATCAGGCATTAGTAATGATGGAATAAGGCAAAAGTTGCTTTCCGAAGAATTAGATTTGAGTAAAACTTTTGCTCAAGCGCTCATGCTAGAACAGGCTGAAAGGCAAACAGGCTTATTCGGGAATCATCCTGTGCAAGATATTTCCAAATTTAGTGTGAAAAAGTGTGCACGTGGTCCAGTGAAAAGTGGGAATCCTGTTGGGTACAAGTTAAAATCTTTTGAAGAGAAAAATAATGATAGCAAGATAAAGTGTTATCGTTGCACAAGTTGGGATCATAAGGCTCATATGTGTCCTTATAGTAATTATAGGTGTAATTTGTGTAGAAGAGTAGGCCATCTTAGCAAGGCGTGCAAATCTAAAGGCGAAACTGCCGCAAAAAGCCAGCTAAAAGGAAGGTATAAGGTGCATCAACTGGAAGATAAAGGGAAGCCTAGCCTAGACATAAATGAGGAAGTGGAAAATTTGTCTCTATATAATATTGGCTCATGCTCAAGTAACTCTGATTACAAGGTAAGGCTAGCTATAGAGAATGTGCCTGTAGTTATGGAAATTGACACTGGTTTGGCACTGTCAGTGTGTCCTCAGGAAATATTTGAGAAATATTTTTCTCACGTTCCATTGAGATCTGTAAATATTAAGTTGTTAACCTATTCTGGCAACGAAGTCATAGTAACTGGGCAAGCTCAAGTCAATGTTGACTACAAGGACCATTCTTATTGTTTGCCTATGATTGTGGTTAAAATAAATCGTACTAACCAACCAATACTCTTAGGAAGGAACTGGATTAAGCACATTGATTTAGATTGGAAATCAATTTTCTCATGTAATTTTGCTAGCGCAACCGCTACTGGTAGTCATAAACCCAAGCCTAATGAGGCAGCCAAAGATGGGGTTTCACCTACGGTAACCCAACCGGAAAGGTTTCTATAGAACCTAATGAGGTTAAGGCATTAAAACAAAAATATGTCTCTGTATTTAGAGGTGGTCCGGGGGAGATCAAAGATGTTGAGGCTAGGATAATCTTAAAAGAAAACTCTATCCCTAAGTTTTGTAAATATAGACCTGTTCCGT